AATTCATCAGCAGGACTTTTCTCAGCAGAGATTAATGAGCTACATAATAAATCCAACATTTCACAGCTACTTAAGTTTGCTTTCCAGGGACTTGTTCCTCTCACCGGAATTCCCTGTAGGATAGTCAGGCTCTAGCAAGCTCCCAAAATCTGGGGAGAAGGAAGACAACATAGAACTAGCTAATTTCCCAGACAGCTTTCTTCAACAAGGTTCCTTTCAGGCTGTCAGCTCAGCCCTGCCGTCCCCTGTGCCAGCTAATGGAGGGGCTGTGAGAGACTCTTGCTCTGATTAACAAAAAGTAAAATCTGTCTGGGCTTTAACGATTGGGGATTTGTGTTTGAATGACCTGTCAGGATATAAATGAGGAAGCCAAAACTGACCTAGGAAGACAGACAGAATCCATGAGAACAGGGCACCCTTTCGCATCTTTTTCTGACCTGCCCCAGGCCCCCATTTCCTGTCAATGAGCCGTGTGTTTGTGTGTGTGCGGGGGGGGATGGAGGCCTCTGGAGCCAGAGACATCCTAGGTGTGCTCATGTATATAAGAATGCTGGGAGCTGCCCAGAGGAAGGATGCTACAGAAGGGCAAAATAAAGTGCCAGTCCAGTGATTAAAATTCACAGCGCTCCTGCTGTGAGACAGGAGGATTCTGGGCTCAGCTTTCCAGAGGAAGACACTGGGGAACAAAGATGAAGCATCTTGCCAAAGGCCACCCACAGTGTTGGTGGTCGAGTTGGTGTAGAACCCAGGAGACCTGACTCCCAATCCCTTGCTCCAGCCTCCCAGATACGGATGCTCCCTCTGACTGTGAGGGAGGGAATGTAGACGCCCAGCTCAGTGGGTGTGATGGAAAATGGGAGCAAACCAGAACTAGGGAAACAGCGAACTCCACTCCTTTGGGGTCTGACCGCTGAGACGGATCATTGCTGCTGTTCTCTGGTGACTACTGAGGATGGGGAAAAAGGAACATCAAAGAGTTTGTGTCCCTGATTTGGGGCCATGGTTCGGCCTCTTTGTTGCTCCAGCAGCAGGTGCAAGCAGTGTCCCCAGTGGAGACTCTGTTGTGAACAGCCACCTGCGGACCAAAAGTTCCCTCAAAGAAGCTCATTTCAGAGGATAAATCAGTGTAAACTCTCTTCTCTGCTCTTGCCTTGCAGCTTAAAGAGGTGGAATGCGATGGTCTGCTCCTTAGGCATTTCCAGGACCCAGATCTTAGAATGAACAGGGGAAGGTGGGAGGTGATGGCAGCCCAACAAGCTGCAGCAGCCGCGAAAGAGACTTTATATCAGGAGGAACAGGCCAAGGTCGGAAAACATTTCCCCTCTCCTGTCAGAGTGATCGGTGCTGCCTCAGGGGAGAGTTGGGTTTCTCATTAATCTGGGACAAAAAGAAACTTCAATGGACATTTGTATCCAATGTACTAGAGATGGATTTTCTGTGCTGAACTATTTAGCAAAGTGGTTGGCATCTCCCTGGGCTTCTCCAGTCCAATCAGCCCATTGCCCAGTTCCTGATAAATCAGCAAAAAGTACATCAGTGGGGAGGCGAGGCTTGGAGTCTGACGCCTCTATCCCACAGCGGGTGCCCCGTCCCTGACCCCGCTCCCTGTGTAAGCGTAGCCAGGCCCGCAGAGTCAGGCTGTCACACGGGACTATCTGGCCAAATAAAGAGCCGGATTTTCACGTCCTGTGAGCAGGAGCTGTGCTCCTGGGTGGTGACTGGGGAGACACTGTCTGCGTGTCAAACTCTGCCCCGTGTCTGACGCTCGGTGAATGCTAGGCCATGCTATGCTGAGTTATGTCCAGGCAGAGATTTGATCTCTCTTTATTATCTAACGGGCTGGAAGGGCCTGACCTGGGCTCTGCTCAGATTTCCTCTTCTAGTGTGAAGCTGACTAATGGGAGTGTTGGTATTTAGTCGTACTTCCCATGGAGTCTGAAGCATTCCAATTGTCTGCCCAGGGGGCCAGTTACTGCCTATTAACAGCACAACAGGAGGCTAATGGGGCAATAAACAGCTGAACTCTGGTCTCCTTCATCTACTCCACGTTCACAAAGCATCCCTTAGAGCCTAAGCAAAAGGTTTGCAGTGAAGAGATGCCAGTGGGCTGCAGCTGAAAATACCTTCCTGCTCTGGTAGCTTGCCAGAGAGTTTGCTCTAAGGTTAGCAGCAACCTGTAGCAGCTGATGGTCTGTGCATGGGTGAGTTTTGTTCATATTTCTCAAATGACTGGAGCTTTCTCTTGATAAGCCTTGAAATCCAGCTAGTCGTTCATCATGGTCAATGGCAAGACGCCTGCTCTTGCCTGCATCCCCATGGCAATAATATAGCCCTGTCTGTTGCCCCAATGAAGGGGGTGCGTCTTTCCAGTAAATACGGCTAGCACAGACGGTTCCAGGAAATCCCAGTAGCAGTCATGTTCCCTTCAATTCATGGGCGATTGCAAGGCATATGCTTTTGGAAAAGAACCCCAGGCCTCCCAGTGGAGACAGCCTTGTTAGTTTGTTCTCAGATCTCAGCTCTGCTAACACCCAGCTTCTGGTGGAGCTTTCTAATTCCTCTGGCCATAACAGTCACTTCAAGGAAACCGAGGTATGAGTTAATTTATACTGTCTGTATTTTGTGGGCCAGATTTCCAAAGGGAAAGTGAAAAGGTCTAAAAAACCTCAGTACCGGAGATGAAAACCAGGAGCTGTGACCCTGTGGAGCTGAACTGCGGTACAAGTATCTAGGGAAACGGGGGGGTTGTGCAAATGGACCTTTGTGTCCATTGGTATCTGTTTTGAACGCACGAATATGGGCTCCTGACTCTGGGACGCACCTTGCTCCTGGATGTGCTGCACTGTACCCCATATTATTCCAGTGCTGGAAGTTGCCAGTTGTGGAGTGATTTTCTGATAGACCAGTGTCCTCTGGAGACCCCAGGAGACTCATTTGTACCTGTGACCATGCAGCCCTATAATACTGTCTGACTGTAGTGAGAGTTCACAAACTCTGACCAGCAGAAGGTTCCAGGAAGTTGTGTGCTATAAACCCCAGTCCCACTCAGTCTCCCTCCTAAACAGCCCAGCATAGACTGACTAGCCACTAATTTATCTGCTGGCAAAAAACGGTGCTCACTTAACCCAATGGGCTCAGGGAAAATTCCCCTCCCAGCTCTGCACTGCAGAACGCTACTCCAATACCCTGCTTTCCACACACTTGCAGAATTCCTGGTGACAGTCAATGCGGGGATGTGTGTGTAGCAAGAAGGGAATGCTGGAGCTAAAATACAGGGCTGGAAGGGGAACCGCTCCCAGTATGGACGTTCAGTGCAAGTCCACAGAGCTAAGCTGGCTGGCTGGAGACCCCCTTTGGGCGACTGGGGGGATCTGGCTCAGGGTGCTTGAGTTCCACACTTAATAAGGTCCTTTTTTAGCAAAGAGCCTGTTTGTGTTGCCTGGACTAATTGACCAGACAGATCCCTATGTGTTAAGCTAGAAATTATGCAGCAGCAAAGAGGGTCCCAGAGTCCTGTAGTTTTTGCTGTCGCCAAAAAGTTAAAGCAGCTTCCTTCTGTTTTAATGCAAAAGATTTTGGCTGTAACAAAGCCGCATTTTTTTTTAGAAACGTTACCCTTTGAACGTGCTTTCGGATGACCTTTCCTTGGCTCTGCCAGGCCACCCTGACAGGGTCAGTACTTTTAACCAAAACGGAACAGCCTAATGAAATTAACAAAACAACTAAGGTTACAAATTCAGCTGTGTTTACCTCCCCACCCCCCCAAATGTATTTCTGCCTGTTTCATCAGTTCTTGACCTATCCGGTTGTAAATGCAGGCAGCCAGGCCAGGATCTAAGCAAGCCCCAGGGAATGTGAACAGCTGACTGAATAATATATCAGGAAGAGCTGATTTCCTCTGCTCCATGTTTATACTCTGAATCCTGAGAGTTTCTGCACGTTTAGTGCAGGACAGAGCCCCAGGACTTGTAAAATTGCAGACAGAGCACAGCTGGAAGGCCACTAAAGGCAGATGCAATTGAGTTTATTTCATGCCTTTTAAGTGCCCTGTGGAAACTTCTTGCCTTCTAAAGGAGCTAGCCCAGGGCCTATTTTATCAGCACAGGATTACAGTGCAGTGGAATTACCTGGGCAGCAGCAACTAGTTGGTGTCTTGTAACTAACCTTGGGCCTCTGTCTCCTCATGGCTGGTCAGTAGTCCTAGGGAGGGACTTGTACTTCAAGGTCTTATTGCTCAAATAAAACCCAGGCCTCCTCTGCCGTCTCACTTCTTGGCCACAAAGCAGGTGCTTGCGAGCTGGGCAACAAGGTCTTGCTGCGCTCAACACCCCGGTTTTATAGAATCATAGAATATCAGGGTTGGAAGGGACCTCAGGAGATCATCTAGTTCAACCCCCTGCTCAAATCAGGACCAATCCCCAATTTTTGCCACAGATCCCTAAATGGCCCCCTCAAGGATTGAACTCACAATCCTGGGTTTAGCAGGCCAATGCTCAAACCACTGAGCTATCCCTTTATGGTAGAAGAGGGAGATTTTCCCTCTGCCCTTCCAGCCTCTTGTCTCAGCAGAGAGAGAAAACAAAGGCGGTTCTGTGCACGGTGTGTGCGTCAGGCAGATGCCGACTATCCCTTTATTACAACACAACTTAGGCTAACGTGGAGTGACACCTATTGTGTCAAAGGGTTTGTCTGTGAAACTCTGTCTGCCCAGAAGCTGATGCCCTTTGTGCTGCATTCACAAGTGATCTGTCACTGGGGCACATTTGTATTTTACTACCCTGACCAGGCATAGAAATGGGTTGTTGATACTGTTCCTCGAGGGCCCAATTCTGCCACAGCTCTGCGCATGGAAGTCTCCCTGAGATGTCTCTGCATGACACGGCTGCACGGTCAGACTCTATAATCAGGGTGCTGTTTTTCTGGGGAGAGTGGTGGGGGAGCCCAGCCTTCTGGGGCGATGGTGTTAGTGATCTGCTTGTTTCTTCTCTCTGCTTTTTCAGCACCAGCTCTTGTCACTGACATCCACACAGATACAATTGAACAGAAGAGCATTTCCTTGTCATGGCAGGAGCCGGGCTTCCCAAGTGCCAGTAACACTGAATACGAAATCAAGTACTATGAAAAGGTAGATCCTTGTTTCCCGTCTTTTCAGTGACATGCCAAAAACTCAAATGAGAGGTTCCCCTGCTTCCCAGCCAGATTTGTGATACATAGTGCTGTCCTTACCGATGCTGTCTGCATGATGTTTGCTGTGACCCACTTGCTTTGTAAATCCTCAGGAATGGAAAATGTACAAGGGTGTGTGTGTGTGTAGTGCATGGCATTGTAAAGACTTTACTGGCATGAGTTTGGGATGCTCCTGCTACTTTCAAGTTCCACGTTCCCCAAATCACCACCATGCAATTTGGTTATACTTTAAATTATTTTAGCTATTTTTAGAGTTTATTTTAATTGGTTTTTTTCTGTCTCCACCTGTGAAGCCAGGTTGCATCAGCACTGCAAGTCCTAATATATAAACCTCCAGGGAGAAAGAGTAGAACTAATCATTTTTAGAGGTTTTTAACAGCTTTTCCTTAAGTGCATTAGAATTCTGAGACGTGGGAGCTTGCAACCAGCTTAGTTCAACACAAGTGCTTAGTCCCTTTGGATGAGAGGCATTCCCAGAACTGCAGCAGGATGAGGCTTATATTTTTGGCACTGACGGGTCACAAAATACTGAACCTTAAAAATTCAGTGAGTTCAGGACTGATTATTACCAGTCCTGGATTTTAGAGCTATGATTCGTGAGTGAAATTCACACTGGAGGGGAATGAAGCAAACGTTTTTGTGATTGTATTTTAAATTTAAAAATGGCCACTGTTTGATAGCAGTTGCGAGGTTTGAGAGTGTTAGAAGTAAAACTAGTGAGCAGAGAGCAGGTGAATATGTAGTAGTGGTAATGAGAGTGGTCCATTTCAAACAGTTGACAAAAAGCTGTGAGTAACAGTAGGGGGAAATTAGTATGGGGGAAATTAGGTTTAGTTTTTGTAATGACCCAGCCACTCCCAGTCTTTATTCAGGCCTAATTTGACGGTGTCCAGTTTGCAAATTAATTCCAGTTCTGCAGTTTTACGTTGGAGTCTGTTTTTGAAGTTTTTTTGTTGAAGAATTGGTATATGCGAATGTGATATCTGCCATCATGTGCCAGCAATGCCCCTCTGCCATGTACATTGGTCAAACTGGACAGTCTCTACGCAAAAGAATAAATGGACACAAATGTGACATCAGGAATTAAAGCATTTAAAAACCGGTAGGAGAACACTGCAATCTCCCTGGTCACTCAATAATAGACCTAAAAGTGGCAATTCTTCAACAAAAAAACTTCAAAAACAGACTCCAACGAGAGACTGCAGAACTGGAATTAATTTGCAGACTTCTTTTAAAAGGTGCAGTGACATGCTGAAATTCTTTCCCTTGAAACAGATGATTCTGAAATAGATTCACATTAACTTGCCCTTTAATATCTGATAGTTTCCAAGAGAGGAATTTGTTGTGAGGTCAGGCGCTGAAATATAATATGATAATTTCTTAGCAAAAATAGTATTGTCACGAGATTTGGAGCATATGTGAAATAACAATCCATTGCCTCTGAATTTGGTAAGTAAGTTTAACTCTGCAGTTTAGCAATTGCTCACATGTAAACAAATCAATATTTGAGCTGACTCCAGAAAACTGGCTTGGTACCTGGTCCTTGTATTTGAGGACTTAGTTTTTTCATGATTCTCTGCACAATGGGCTCTGAGAAAAAACAAACCCCTCAAATAGATAGCATGTTGCACAACAACATATACAGACCCAGGAGAAATGTAATTAACTATATCCAGGCTGCGGCATTAATGCTAGAAACTAGGGTTTGAGAAGTTAGTTATTCAGCATAAATAGTGTGTGAGAAACCCAGGCTTGAGCTCTGCTAAGCCTTTGACACAAAGTACAGCTGTATTAATTCTGGAACCCACAGACCGCAGTAAAACCTGGCCTCAAATAACTTCTACCTGAGCTTTGGGTGAAAAGAGACTAATCCGTTTGCCAAGCAGTTTGTTCCAAAATGTCATTGTTACCTCCCATAACAGCAGTAATCCATTAATCATCAGCATCTAATGTCCCAGCTTTAACAGTGCGTTTCCCCACATCTCACTCACGCCTGCACACGCAGCCCCAGCTGGCTGGGAATGTCTCCTTCCTGCCTTGAAATAGCGAACAAGGCAGTGAAAATCCTTCAGTTGCTGCCTACTATTGCTATTACTTACTTTACAACACCCAAAAACATATGAGGCACCTCACAGAAAACCCTTAAATTTAGTCCCTGCTCCAGGGTGCTCCAGCCTAATTGATGGGAATGTAGCAAACACACCCTAACGGGGGGGGAGCGGGGCAAGGAAAGACGTAGGTTCTGGACAGGGGCGTTGGAACAATTTGTGTAGTGGGGGTGCTGAGCGCCATTGAGCCAGACTAAACCTGTATCTGAGTCGGGGCAGGAACCGGCCAATGGGAGCTGTGGGGGCGGTGCCTGTGGGCGAGAACAGCGTGTGGATCCTCCTGCCCCCCCCACCCCGCCCCGCCTAGGAACCAGACCTGCTGGCCGATTCCGGGGCGCAGAATGGTGCCAGGACAGGCAGGGGGCCTGCCTTAGACCCTCTGCGCCGCTGACTGGGAGCTGCCCAAGATAAGCCTGAGCCCCAACCCCCTGCTCCAGCCCTGAGCCCCCCCCACCAAACCTGGAGCCTCCTCTTGCTCCCCAAGCCTGTCATCCCTGATCCCAGCCCAGAGCCCACTCTCACTCCCTGAACCCCTCATCCCTGGCCCCAGCCCAGAGGCCTTACCCCCTTCCGCACCCCAACCCTCTGCCTCGACCTGCAGCCCCCTCCCGCACTCTGAATCCCTCGGCCCCACCTCCCCAGCCTGGAGCCCCCTCTTGCACCCCACAACCCAGAGCCTGCACCCGTACCCCAGCCCAGTGAAAGTGAGTGAGGGTGGGAGAAGCAAGCCACCAAGGGAGGGGGAATGTAGAGAGTGGGGGAGGGGCCTCGGGGAAGGGGGTGGGGCCTCAAGGGAAGGGGCGGGGCGAGGGTTTCGGTTTTGTGCGATTAGAAAGTTGGCAGCCCTATAGATGATGGAAGTCACTTCAAGCCGGGGGGTGCAGCACCTGTGGGATGCTGCGCATGTCTAGATGCTTTGAGTGGTTTGTTAAGCCTAAGCTCCTTCTCGGGTGATGCTGTGCGAGTGATTGGATTGAGGAGGTGGAGGCTCTGGGAGGAGCTTTCCTAACCTGAGGTGCTGCCAGGGAGAAGCATGAATATACCCAGGGGCCTGAGACTTTGAGATTCCCAATGGAGAACGTCATCTGCCTGTGGCAACATATGCCTGCTGTAGAGGCTGCATCTCTGGAGCCCATGGGAAGTGTGTCTTTAAATGCAAGGAATACAGCAAAGCCCTCAGAACTGCCGTTCTGCCACACTGCGACCCATTGCCTTAGGCAGTGCTGCAGCCAAGCTCCTCTGTTCAGGGCTGCCATGCAGACACAGCTTCCCCCTCCCACTCTGACATTCCTCAGCCGCTGCTGGAAAGGTTCTGTCTGTCCCTGTCATAACAAGGCAGAAATCCGGAGCTAGCTGGGTAGGTGAATCACATTCGTGGGACTGGAATCGCTAGAGAATGCGTCTGCCAGCTTTGATTACTCCATGTGTGCTAACACGTTTATTTAGTCTTGAGACACAGCGCAGTGCGGGCGCCCAGAGCAGCCTGCATCCGCGAAGAGCTCGGCCCTCGGCACTCCAGGCTGTTCACAGAGCTCTCCAGCAGGGCTGCTCCAGTCAAACATGCCTGGGAAGCGCCGGTGGATTTAATACCATCCCCCTGTCACGGCGCTGGTTACTAACAAAGAAGTCAAGTTAGACTGTTTGCAAAGATCCAATGTGCTGCCTTCGCATTAGCCATAATGAGAACAAGTAACTCTCCAGACTGCTTTCCCTCTGGCCAAAGAGCAGAGCAGGCAGCACCAGGGAGCGGGTGCGGTACTCTCTCTGCTGAGGCTGTGTGACTTCCGTCCTGGGCAGGAGAGGCTGGGTGAGTGAGGCATTGCAGGGCCACGGCCGCTCCAGACCAGCTCAGCTAAAGCGTTTCTAAGTGGACGTGTCTTTGCTGTAGTTGGTGCCGTGGCCGAGAGATTCCCCCTGATGCTGTTTGCTGGAGCAGTTTAAAATGCTGTGTTCTCTCTAGGAAACCTGGTTTGTGTGCCAGGCTCTAGTCCACTCTGTAGAGTTGGGAGGAAGGGCTTAGATCTACCCGTCCGGTGGCTTTCCACTGGCTGTCAGCTGATGGCCCAGCTGGAGTGTGGTGGGATTCTGGCATGGAGATGGTGATCTGGTGCACAGAGGCCTTGTTGGGCTGGGTAACCCAGGTCTCCCTAGACCACCTGCGTGTAGAACAGCATTCAGAGCTGGCTCCAGTTTGTGGAGAGGGCCCTCTCCAGATGGCCTGGTGGCAGCAGGTGTTCAGATTCCAAACGGTGGACGTGCCGTCCTCCTGAGTAGTGCAGTGAGTATAAGCGTTCCTCTGGGGCGGATTCTGTTGGGCACTGTCTCCTCTGCCCCTCACACCTCCACCCTGCTCGTTGCTTTTCAGGGTTCTCCTGGGCTCTGGCCCAGCTGCAGCCAGAGCCCTCTTTGGGGCTGTGGCCCCCATTTGGTGCCTTTCACTGAGAACCTGCTCATTGCTCAGCCTCAGCCCCTCCCCTCTGCCTCTCGCCAGAGGCTGAAGGTCCCTTCTCCTCTCCTTGGAAATGGCTTGTAGCAACCCCCCAGGGCCAGGGACGTGCTGCAGCTCCTATTTAATTTAAATCAACCCCTCTCTGCAGACCCAACTGCAAATTCTCACCCATTGTCCCAGCCTGAAAGGCCCCTTTGTTACAGAGGGAGCTTAAGGAGATGGCCATGCTGCTGCCAGGATGCACCAACTTGCCTCTGTCCTAACCTGCCTCTGCTCTCGCTCAGCCTGCCCTTTCCCCTTCCCCTGATTCCTCCAAGAGCCTCTCTGTTCGAGCCTCCCCCACATCCAGGGTACTGAGCATGGGACTCTTGGCCCCTCAGGCGACTCATCCCCCCAACCTGCCCTGATGCATTTAGGGGTCATTTAGCACCTTCCAGCCCGTCCCTCCCTTCGGACTCTTCTCCTCTGATATCCCTTTGGGACGCCGGCATCTTCGGCCAGCGACTTCCCAGGGCTGCTTTCAGGCAGTGTCGCTGCACACCCGTGTCCCCTCGATGAGCTGGGCCCGGTCACTGGCTTGATTGTGTACTCAATGCTTCCCCCAGGACATGCCACGCAACCCCTCCGAATGTCCTTCCATATCAGGGCTGCCCAAGATACATCCACAACCACCCTCTGCCCGTCCTCTGGGGTTCTTTGGAGATGGTAACTCGGGCTGGGGTGGGGGACAGGAGTGCGCTGGCTGGTGTCTGAGTGCATGCGGTGTGTGAATGCACCCAGTGCCCTTTGCTGGCTGGAACGCCAGGCCTGGTTAGCTGTTTATTTTCAGCCCTACCTGGTGGAACTACTTTTTGCTATATGGTGATTTCATATTAATCGTGTCCTGTAAGCAGTGCCACGCTCAGGACCTCCTTGGAGGCGGAGGGGGAAGGGGCTTGGCGTGCACTCTCCCAGCATGCAAGGTGGTGTGAAAGAAAATGTAAAGACGTGAATGGGAGAGGACAGCCCACGAAGCTGGTGTCGCCCCTTTTATAACCACACATTCCCCAGCCTCTCACCAGTCACATCCTCTAGTCCTCGCTGCGTTTGATTTGCTCTTCTTGTAACTTGTAATTTCTATTAATGAGGCATCTAGCAAACATTTCATTTTCGTTGATGGTCTAACGTTTGGCTAGTCAGCCCTGCTGGGACCCAGAGACACAGCAATAAGACAGCTGCTCCACAGATCAGCTAGAGGACAGCTGTCCATCTTGTTAAATCTCCCGTGTTTCATTATTTCATAGGATCAAAGAGATCAAAGTTACTCGACCGTGAAAACCGCGTCGACGGCCGTGACAGTCAGTAACCTCAGGCCTGGCACGCTCTACGTCTTCCAGATCCGGACGGCGTCAGCCCAGGGTTATGGAAACTATAGTCCTGCCATCGAAGTGGAGACCTTGGGGGAACGTAAGTGCAGGCAGGCCAGTGGGGTGCGTATCGAACACAGAGCACACGTCAGGTGCGTTACTTTCAGCTGCAGCAGCTCTACGGCCCACGGTTCGTGCTGGAGACTCAACTGAGTCTGTTCTGGGTGTGGGCCTGTCCCCTAAGGAGGGAGTGGGCCCTTCTGTTGAGCGAGGGCCTGTTCCTTCCTAGGCCCTCGTTTTCTTCCAATGTCCGAGATCGATGTAGTGCCAATGAGGGCTGCTGGCTTGACAGCCTTGCAGGCTGACGCCCTCGGATCGTCCACAGAGCACGTGCAGCACCCACCTGCCCTGCCCTAGAGGGAGCCCCCTCGGCAGTAGGAGGGGAGAAATTTACTGGACATCTCTGAGATTTCTACTGAGGCTGCCAAGGAGGACGCCCACTAGGGCCAATTGTGACTTGGTTTTTGTGACATTGACATCTGGATGGATCCCCCCGGTTCCATTCACAGGGGCCACCAAAGAGCTGTCGGATGGGAATGGCTGTCCGTTGCTGCCTGCTGAACTGTGAAGGGCACTTTACCTGTCTTTCTATCCTCTGAGCCACAAGTAATGCCACAGAAAAGAGGGGTTGAGTGCACGATCGTCCAGTGAAAACAAAACCAGGGTCCTTCAGATCATTTCACATGGAGGCAGAGCTGGTCTCGAGCCTGCGTCCAGATCAGAGACGGTTGCTCTACCCCGCTAGAGCCCTGGTCTATGGAGCACTTAGGGTTTTTGTCACTTTGCTGACTAGCTGAATCGGCTTCACTGGATTTTGTTGGGGTTTTTACCTTTTACAGCTTCCATTCAAACCTGTTGTCAAGAACATCTTATTTCACTGTCTAAAGGAGGGGGTCAGGGAGACGGTAGGTTTCAGTTTAATACCCCACTCTGGCTGGAAGTGAATGTCCAGAGATTGTGTCTAACAGGGCTTTAAATTGCATCCATTTACCACACGGAAATATTTTCAGAATTCATTGAATCCAGTAAAAGTTGTCTTATCGAATGTCCTATCTCAGACCTCTGCCAACGCAGGAGAGGAAAGTATTGAACTAGTGAGGGAGACCATCTGTACATTTTAATGTGTCTCCCCCATAAACAGGACTATTTCCTAAACACCAGCTAATAGAATGAGGAGTCCGCCATGAGAGCTGAGAGCTAGAGGTTCCTCTGCTCACCCTGTCAACACTGGCCTTCACTCTGCTTGCGCTGGCTCTGGCTGCCAGAATGGCCTCAGCACGTGAGCTAGAGAAATAACAATAAAAAGCAGCTTGCCGCCTGCAGAGAAAGTTTCTCAAGGTCTGTGCTAGAGGAACCTGAGCTGGTTTAGCAGGAGGAGGGGCCGAGCTCTGGGACAGGGAGATGCTCCAAGGGATCATGGCAAGATTTGAGACTCAAGTGTGTTTACAGCCTTACCAAGGTGTGGTAATTCCTCTAGCTTTTGTCTAGCTGCTTTTGCTTTGGAAAGAAGCTGCCAGTCTCCTTGTGAAATTAGAGTTAAAAACCAGCCCTAGTGCTGCAGACCCTACGAAAATAGCATGTGAAGCTCCCCTTGCTGCCTTTACATGAGCAGCTACTGTGACCCCTTGCTCTCAGGTCTGGCCTGACATCAGACAGGTCGTGTGCTGCTAACAAGGGGTCAGCATGAAAGTCACTTCCTGCATTTCAAATGCATCCTGGTGGAAATAAGAAGAAGAGGACCTGTGGCACCTTATAGGCTAACCAATTTATTTGAGCAGAAGCATAAGTAAGCTACAGCTCACTTCATCTTATGCTCAAATAAATTGGCTAGTCTCTAAGGTGCCACAAGTCCTCCTTTTCTTTTTGCGAATACAGACTAACACGGCTGCTACTCGGAAACCTGGTAGAAATGTTTTCTCAGCTTCAGCCATCAGGGCAAGGTTGTGGCTTAGGCAAAGTTTTCAGACCATGTAACATCTGCAAACTGCCGGCTTAGTCTAGTGCACTGGGCTCTCAACTTAGTCATACTACTGTACCCCTTTCAGGAGTCTGATTTCTCTTGTGTACCCCCAAATTTCATCTCACTTAAAACCCACTTGCTTACAAATTCAGACATAAAAATAGAGAAGTATCACAGCACACTGTTACTGAGGAATGGGTGACTTTCTCATTTTGTTTGTATAAAATTTTAGTTTGTACTAACTTTGCTAGTGCTTTTTATGTAGCCTGTTGTAAAAGTAGGCAAATATCTAGATGAGCGGCTGTACCCCCTGGAAGACCTTTGCATACCCTCGGAGCTACGCGTCCCTCTGGCTGAGAACCACTGGCCTAGGGCAAATGTGCAAGGGGAGGCTGTTAAAAGTGACCTGCTTTGTCCCCTTTCTTGGTGCTTTATGATGCAGAAAAGCCTGCAAGATTTTTCACCCTACCTCAGTCTCTCTCTCTCTCGCTTTTGTTTTGCCCTAGAAACACCCAGAGTTTCGTCCCCTTTTCCGGTTGTGTTTAAACACGAGGGGCCTATCAAACACTGCCAGTGATGCAGTGCTATCTGGTGCAGAAGCGCCCTGGAGCTTGGCGCTTTGGCGGGCTGGGAGTGGACACACACCATGACCTTGCCAGGGCTCTGCACTTGATGCTGGCTATTCCTGGTGCCCTTGGTGCAGGAATGCAGCACGAGCCAAGGCAGGCTGATCTGGAGTTGTAACCATGGTGCCGGGTACGTGCAGAGGGGAATACAGACCTAACCCCTGTTTCGCTTCCCTCCTTGGCAGTGACCGTGGCTCCCAGTGAGCAGAACCCTATCATCATCATCGTCGTGGTTGCAATCGCTGGGCTGATCGTGCTGGTTTCCATGGTGATTGGTGTGATGATCTGGAGGAGGTGAGCAGACTTCGCGCCTCTTCCATTGTGCATATGGCTATAGACCAAGGATTTCTGGGGGCGGCTTGCTGACTTGGTGTAGCTAATACTCCTAATGCTGCGGCTGGGGTTCGGGGGACACTGGGAAAGAGACACGTCTCTGTAGCAGCCAAGTTCTGCCCTGTGGACTGCGTGTTTGGCTGCCTTAGGGTCAAATCCGCTCATTGACAGGGCCAACACAAGGCCTAGAGCTGGCCCTCTGCACAGGGGTGAATGTCACCTTCCTGTTCCAGGCTTGGAATAGCCGGTGTTTGTGCCAGGGGATCAAGTGGGCTTCCAGGGTTCGGTAGCTGAAAAATACTTTGGCAAATCAAATACTTTGGCCAGGAGTGGCTGGTGGCATTCAGAGCTCCCCCAGGCTCTGGCTAGAGCAGTTTTCCGAGTGGTCCACAGTCTGCCAAGGCCCAGGCTGGGCTGTTGTCACACACGTGAGTCACTTTCCCGAGGTCAGAGGGTTTTGGGGAACGGGCAGTGGGGAAAGCTTACCCAGAGCCGTGTGTCTGCAGCCACAGTGGTGCTCAGTGAACTATCGATGTGACTGTGACAATGGGCCTGGGTGGGAAGCAGGGGAGAAATCTGGGAGACTTTGTTGGCTACAGTGGATAACAACTAAACCCCCAGGATTCTCTGCACTGTTTGCAATGTGGCCACCATGCTGGCCAACTGGAGACCTTCAGAGAGAGCATGAGAGTCTCTGCACTCCTGGCCGTATCTTGGAACTGTAACAGACTTGCATTCTCTGTGGTTCGGGTCATGTGTCACCAGTGGGTCACACTGGGACATCTCCAAACAGTGTGAAACTCTTCACTTTTCCAACTGGTAAATCAAGGATAGAAATTCCCTTAAGTTACCTTAGCATTTTAAAAATCTATATTTCTGTTAATCTTCCTAATCTGGGGCTTTTCCAAGGCTCAGGTGTTTGCTTTGGCTGGGTCTAGCTCTGGAGTTGAAGGATGGGTGAAACCCAGACAGCTGGAGTTCCAAACTGCATTGGGAAGTATATGAAGCAGATAATTGTGCTATCTTCGGAGCCACTCGCTCTGATCTCCATTCCTCCTGCCAGGACTGCTAGAACCAGAGAAATGGTTCAGAGAGGCATCTGTAGTCATCTGACAGATGGTTCAGTGTAACGATCTATAATTTTTTACTTAAAAGATTAAATTGAGCCCCAAATGAGACTAATTTAAGTAAATAGAATAATAAAAAATTACGAGTGAAGACTAGTGTGTTGTGTAACGACAGGGCTGGGGTGAGAGCAGGCCACTGTCACTTGCTTCACCTCGGGAATCCCAGGTCCCTAGGCCCCTTGTTGGAGCAGCGGGGGTGGGGTGGGGCTCCAGAGTGGCAGGCCGAGCTCCGGTGCACAGAATGCCTGAGCTCCAAGAGCCAGGCTCACACAGGCATCAAGAATTCACTTGGCTCCCCCCCCGCCCCCCCCAGTAGCTGCCGTTTCCCCTGAACGCCCTGGGGTGGCAGAGGAGCAGCTCCAAGGGAGGGGAGGCTTGTTTCCTTTGTTTGGAGTTGCACAGTTTGCAGGTGCAGGCAGCCCTGGTGCAAGGCTCTGGGCCCCTGCTTTGGAGCTGGGGAAATTCCTTCCTCCCTCTGGCGTGGAGCTGGTGTTAATGGGGGTGCTGAGGTGGGAAGTTGCCAGAGGAACAGCAGGGTGTGGTGTTGGCTTTGCTTTTAGTTTATGAACAAAATGGTCCTCTCCAAGACAGAGGCCACCCAGCATCTGGGGCAGCCTCACGCTCCAGCTTGGTCCTCACTGGGGCCCTGCTCCCTTGGATGCCAGCAGGACTTTTCCCACTGCCCGCAGCCAGTGCAGCATCAGCCCAGGGAGGGTTTAGGCTGCTGACTGGTGGTCCATAGGAGCTCAGCAGAGCTGGCTTTGTATCTATGCTAACAGGAGTCCCTGAAGGTCAGAGCAGGGATCTGACGGTCACACTACGAGTGCCATGTCTGAAATCCTGGTGACTTCGTTGCTTGTGGCACTGAGGCGAGTCTGTCCAGCCCAGGGCGTTTGACTAGCATCTTTTCTAAAAAAAAGGGTGATGTCAGGCTGAGATTACAGGGGTGTGGACACACGGGCAAATATCCTGGCTGCTGCAGGGCTTAGCTGCACCTGTCAGAGGATGTGGACATCTGAGTTATCCGCATGACCGAGCTAGCAAATGCTCTGTGTGTCAGAATACCAGGCGTCTGGTGCCCATCGGCTTAAGGAGACCAGAGTGCTCTTCGTGTGGGCTGGAAATGACCTGGAGATGCTGCTCCGTCATTATCCCTGGGAGTTCAGAACTTGCCTTCATGTTGCTGCTCCGGATTTGACCTGCCCTTTGTTGGCTTCTACCCCAGCCCCGGATCAGCCTGGTCCCACTCTGCGCGGTTTGCCCCCAGCCATTTGCTTGTCTGCTGTGCTGCAGAGTAACCCCTAGGCTCTTCCACTCCCACAGCAGAAGATGCAGCTCCACATCCAGTCCCTGCCACAGCAATTCTCTCCTGCTGGGGTTGGGATCACAGAGACCACAGTGGTTAAGTGTACAGGTTTGCTTGGCCCTGACCTCTGGCTTCTTGTGCTGGTGTATTTTGGGGGGTTGGACAGCACTCTTGGGCACTGGCATTTGGGGCTTTGTATCCAGTGGGAGATTCACACCCAAGGCCTAACATGAATATTGCTTCTCATTGCAGACAGTGTGGGTACAGCAAAGCCAGCCAGGACGGAGACGAGGAGCTGTACTTCCATTGTAAGTGACGTCTGGCCACTGTGCTGTCCGATTGCATGGGGAGCTCTGCATTTACTGTTATTAACAACCCTGCTGTCTGCAGAGCAGCCCGGAATCCTTCCTTTTGAAGTGCTGTCATCCCGTGTTAGCCCAGAGAAGGCCAGCTCAGCACAGCAAGGCTCCCTGGAGACAGCTGGCTTGACAGCTTCATAAGCCAGTGGCCGTCCTTCCTGCGCACAGAGCGCTGGCTGCTCAGGGAGGTCACTGGCAAGCCACAGGAAACGGAGGTGCTTTCAGCTTTCTCAAGGGCGTATGAATTATTCTGTCAGCTTTTCACATCCAGCTACGGGAGGGCGGGGGTTTGTTTTCTGGGGCATCTCTTGATTACCAAGCAGCGATAATTTTACAGACAACAGTTGTCAAAGGAAATGCAAATGTCAGAACTGACGAGTGTATTTGATTCCTGGCATATGCCGGTTAAGCACAGACCTCCTCTTCTGCTCCCTGCAGCATCTGAGAGGCAGCAGAATCCGTACGCTTTCAGACAAGCCTTTGCTGCCATCATCCGCTTTTCAGGATCTTTGATTATTGCTGAGAGTTTTCCATACAAAGCAGGGAGAGATGAAGTGCAGCAGCTGGGGTTTCTTAGGCTACCTGTTAGTGATCTGGGTAGGGAGGGGGTTGCTCCTGGTGTCCTGATCCCAACCTCCGGTGCCATCACACACAGGCAGGACACCAGAGGAACCGCATGCGTTATATTTGCTCTTTGGAATTTGTGCTCAGTAGACGTGGGATTGGCCTTCGCTGCTGGTTTGGTTCCCCAATAGGAGCAGCCCCCTGCCTGTTTGGAATGTGCAGAAACTCAGTCAGTCTTTGCCCCTCTGGGTTGAGCAAGGCAAACCCCTGAGGTCAGGGCACCCAGTGCTGTTGTGTTGGGAGCAGAGGCCCCAGGAGCAGCAGAGCCAACATGCTCCTGTCTTTGTTATTTGTTCTGGGAATTTAAAATGAAGGTTTACAGGAAACCTGTGAGTGGAAGCAACGGTCCCCACCCGCGCTGTGCAATGTTCTTTGTAACTGTTTTCAGAGTAGCAGCCGTGTTAGTCTGTATTCGCAAAAAGAAAAGGAGGACTTGTGGCACCTTAGAGACTAACCAATTTATTTGAGCATAAGCTTTCGTGAGTTACAGCTCACTTCATCTGAAGTGAGCTGTAGCTCATGAAAACTTATGCTCAAATAAATTGGTTAGTCTCTAAGGTGCCACAAGTCCTCCTTTTCTTTGTAACTGGGTTGCTCTCACTGCACTTGGCTCTCCTGGGCGCAGTCCGGGCAGTGTCAGTTACCATTTAGCAGATGGTAGTGGCGTGCGGGGAAGGCTTTGCAATCCATGCTGCTGATCATCGGGGCCTGGAACAGCTCATGGTTATAATTATCCCTGCTGGAGGGCTTGGACTGTTCAGGTAGGCGAGGATTAACCTGGGAGGCGGATCTGCTCAGACTCCGAGGGGCGGCTCCTTGAGTTCAAGGGCTGTCATCTCTGTTTGAGCTGGGCGGTGTGAGAATGAGCAGAGGGAACGGTTCCCTTTTCTCCCTGTAGGAACTTGGTAGCAAACTGATAGAGCCAAGTTTCTCATAAGTTTTAGCTAGTGCAGTGTTGGTCCCAAAAGGCAGGAGGTTCCTGCTGAGGCCGATCCGGGGAGAGGCAGCACGTCTGCTCCATCAGTCCTGATGCTGGAAGCAAAGCTCCTGCGTTCGGACCCAGAGAAGCACTCCAAACAATGCTCCCCAGCTTGTCCTAATGGCAGTTCTGACCAGCCCTCCAGCCCACATAGAGCAAACCTGACCTGTAGCCGGAGCTGGCTGTATCTCTAGAGGTGGTCTGGGGGCTAAAGCCATGAGGACAGGAGCTCTGCATGTTGGCACTGCGATATCACTGGTGGTTCAGAATGGTGCTGTGTCAATATGGCTGTAGCCTGAATGGATGGCGCGTCCTGGGGAATGGAAGCCCGGTCCCCTGGCCTTAGTGATCGTTTCCATAGACGACCCTAACAGCTGTCTGCCTCACTTCATTCTGTTTCGTTAACAGTGTACAGAGAGGAGAGGACCGTCTATTTGCCAAATGTAATTTGGGGCTGTGAGATAAAGAGCAGAGCCTTGCAAAGATCTCCCCGGTGCGGGAGGGGCTGGGAGCCGCGGAGCATAATGTAGGTTGCAGAGCTGCCTGTTCTTTTCCAAATCCCCTTGCTACGCAGACAGGAGAGGGCCTCCACAAGGGGCCCAAGCAGCACAGCCGGAGGACACAGGTTTGTAGGGTCCTAGGGAAGTTATTGTTGGGCTTCTTTAAGCTGAAGAGCTAATTACCTGTTTAAACAGCAGTGTTTCTTAGTTAAATTAAATCCAGATAGATGCTGTTGCTCCAGTGCTGAGTCCGGCTCCTGCTGCTGCTCCCATCCTCTGCCGAGGCCTGCGTCCTGGCGCTCTGGGTGCTACAGAATACTTGGGCTTTCTGCATTTACGTGGAGGACTGTGCTCAGCCGATATGTGGACGCTGCTCTGGTGTGACTGTGACTGGCTTTCTCTGAGCGGCATTCTCAGACCCTGAAAGGGGACACGGTGTCCGAAAGGAAAGCTGTAGGCGTGGATTAGCTGCTGCAGTGTCCCTCAGTGTGGGCCCAATTCAGGTCCTGAGCCCCAAAGCGCAGCTAAAGGCCAGGGAGCAAAGAGCAGCAACAGGAGTACTGGAGACAGCGAGGGGACTGCAGCCTGGAGGGGGTTTGCGGTGCTGGCAGGTAAAGAGAGGGCAGAGCTCCTGCTGGTTCGCACTCTGCTCCCTCTCTCTCAGTGGGATCCCGGCTGGGCAGAGCTTTGCGGAGGTGACACAGGGTTTTCTTCTCACACATACTCTGTTTATTCCCCCTCTTTGCTGTAGTTAAGATACCAACCAGGAGGACATATATTGACCCTGACACCTGTGAAGACCCCATGCAGGCCGTGCACCTCTTTGCCAAAGAGCTCGACAACTCGAGTATCAAGATCGAGCGGATCATTGGAACAGGCAAGTATTCTGTTTCGAGACGCTGCAGCGTGGCTCCCGGTGGGCTCTGCAGAGGGGCATTCCTGCTGGGCCGAGGACGCCTGTGCCACGGGGACACAGTGATCAGTCTGAAGAGGAGAGCGTGTCCTCAGCCCATTGGATGGGCATTGGGTGTGGATTTACAGCCTCATGGGGAGGGAGGGTTTCTAGCTCCTCTTTCACCCCAAGGGGCTAATTCCCAGCAGGGTTCACAGGCCTCCAGGCTGCAATCCCAGGCTGAGGCAGGATTTCCAGGTGGAGCAGGTCACAGCTTACCTCCCAGCTCAGTTCTTCTCCAGCCTCTGTCATGTAGCCCAGCAAATGCTGCTGGCACCTGTCTGCAGCCTGACCCCCAGCTAGGAGCCAGGGCGAGTGCAGTGAGAGCTCACTACCCCTCTGGCAGGTGCCGGCGGGCCTGCGTTCTGAGTGACGTTGCTCACCCCCCAAAAACCCTTCTGCACTCCCAGGGGATGAACCTCTCAGAGGTGAGGGAGTGTGGCCCAGTTCTGTGTAATCCCCAGCCTCTGTCTGGCCTCAGGGTTTGCCAGGCACAGAGCCCTGGTGTAGCTCTTGCCATTAGTTGGGACTTAAGCAAAACCGTAAATCCATTTTGCGAGCAGTACGTTGAGTCAGCAGCCAAGAGTTTTCTGTTTTAAAAAGCAGAGCTGTGTGTCTGGCTGGCTGAACTGTCAGGCTGCTGTCTGGCCCCCTCCTAGGAAATATGTAAATGGCTTTAAGAACCCTGACGAGGCTCCCAGAATCCTACAAAGAGCCGAGCAGGTACCAATGGGCTGTTGAGATTCTGAGATACGGCCTAAAACGTCAAAGCAAATTAAAATCCCTGCAGCTTTAATTGCTAATACAAGCCAGATCTGTGGAGGCCTTGGTATGCTGGGTGTCATTTTCCCAAAGAGAAGTTGCAGGGGAGTAGCTTAACTAGCAGCTTAAATATGAACATGGAAATAGAAGGTGATTGTCAGACAGTGGAGGGCAGAGGAATCTTAGCAGCCATCAGGGCAGAGAAACTGGCCCAGTGATTCTGAACTTTTAGCAATAGATAATTAATGAGAAGGAAATCCAAGTAGAATAGGTCTTTTAAATGGGAGGAATGTAGAATGGTTTGTATTAGTCTCCCGGGTGACCTAGCCGGTTACCTGTCTCTCAGATCAATAAAGCTCTTCATATCCATTGGCTTTTCCCTGTAAAACCAAAGTTGGCCTTTTCTTATTAGAATTTGTCACTTTGTGCTGCCCTGATTGTGGCTGCGACTGAGCAGAAAGTTCTGTCTCAAGTGCTGATGAACAATGCATGGCCCTGACTATCCTTCATGTGGGCAGGAGGGAGTCACCAGAGAGCTGACATTTGGGATGGTTTGGGAGTGGAGAGAGTCAGAACCCAGCGAGGACTCTCTTGATCTCTGGGAGATAATCTTCCATTCATGGAAAGCACTTCAAAAGTGCAGTGTGCACTCGGCTGGTGCATTAGGGGAATGGCCTAAGCCGCCAAAGAGAGGAATTTGCATCATGTGTTGTTGTAACTGCTAGTTGGCACTAAAGAGTTTCATGGTCTGTGTGTTCACAGCAAGTCATGATGCCCCCCAGAAGTGGGGGAAGATGGTAAACTGAGGCTAGGGTGAGCATTTTTAAAGGGACCTTAATCCACCTTCCTGTGTTGTGGGTGGATTTTTCCCCTGAGAGTACAGATCCCTGCTATGTGAAAGCAGAGCCCATCTGCCCAACTAGCCAGGTACTCACACACCGGCTGCCCACATCCCAGGACCCGCTTCTATGCTCCCAGGTCACAGTGTTTGCAGGTCCAGAGGCAGAGGTCCTGTTATGGGATGCGGGGCACAAGGAAACGCTACCAGAAGGGGAGCTGATTTTCTAGAAGAGCAGCGCTGCCCCTTGTTCTGAGTCAGAAATTCCAGCGCTGCGACCCAGTGCGCGGCAGCAGATCTGTGCAGCGCTGTTTTGCGCAGTGATATTCAAAGATTTGAGAAAGCCGTAAATAAAAGCAGCTGTAGCAATAGCTCCCGTTTTCATAGCCTGTGAGTGACCAAGAGAGCAGCCAGCTCAGCTCCTAGAATGACAGTATGAAAACAGTCCCATGCCGCATTCTTTTGGGATGTTCGCAAAAAGACAAGGAGGACTTGTGGCACCCTAGAGGCTAATATATTTGAGCATAAGCTTTCGTGAGCTACAGCTCACTTCATCGGATGCATTCAGTGGAAAATACTGATGTTAACACTCTCAAGTGTCTAACCACAGGGACGCTAAATGTCCGTGCTCCTTCAGCTGGAGACACTCTAATTCCCGTCTCTCCTATGGCACAGGAGAGTTTGGAGAAGTCTGCCGGGGATGCTTGAAACTTCCCAGTAAGAGAGAGCTCCTGGTTGCCATCCAGACCCTTCGAGCTGGCTGCTCAGACAAGCAGAAGCATGCCTTCCTGGCAGAGGCTAGCACCATGGGCCAGTTCGATCACTCCAACATCATCCGCCTGGAGGGCGTCATCACCAGAGGTAAGGCTTATTAACTCTGCACGTCATGGTATGCAAACTCATTGCGTTCCAAACAGACCAAGCTTTCCCTGTCTTGTGCTATGCCTAGTGCTCCTGGCATGGATGGTGCCCACAGCATTGGTTTGAGCTAATCTGGGTTCAGGCAAGGCATTTGTCTGAGCCTTCCCCTTCTTTACAGTTGCTCTGCCCCTCACTTCAACCCCAAACGGCACCATCATCTGCTGATTTGGTCCTATGTCTCTGTGGCACAATCCCACATGACTTTCTTTCTGTTCCAAATTTTGTGGTGTTTGGGGTTTTTTAAATGACAGGGCCAATTAATCTAGGACGACACTTGCCAAACCCATTGTGACTAGATCCTAGAGCTAGATTTGAATCCAGTCCTCATGCATGGAAAGCCTAACGTACTAGGTTCACTGACCCCTGCATCCACCCCCTCACTTTCAGCTTGAAAAGTTTTGGATTCCTGTTCCCTCTCTCTGAGAGAGGGCCGAATCCCAGAATACCGGCAGCTTTGTGCTGTGTTGTGGTGAGAGAATCCCATGCTTCACTCACTATCTTTGCAGTTTTAACACTGTGCGATTCTCAGAGTGAGGGCAAGAAAATACAGAGAATGGTCACACAGCCCCCTTCATCCAGGGCACCCGAAGCCCTCCACAAGGACAGGTGTGTATTGTCAACCCTGCCTGATGGGGAAACTGAGGCCTGGGGAGGAGCGAGGACTTGACAACACAGACTGTGCCTACCCTGGACTGTTTGGCCAGCTATTTCCAAACACACTAGCACTGGCTGATCACCACTGGTACCAATGCTGGGAGCGCTTAGCTGTTGACTTTTGTATCCCCTGCTTAGAGTAGGCCTGCATGACGTGGTGGTGAGAATGCCAGTGGCTGCCGGTGCTTTGGCTACAGGAAATGTTGAGGACAAAACAGAACCACAGACCAGGAGCCTGTGTCAGAGCTACAGTGGAGGCCAAGTGCCCAGGCACCTGCTCACCGTCTGCGGAATCACTATGTGGAGATATTCAGGACCAGAGAGATGGGCGTTACATGAGACTTTGTGCTCCACCCACGTATGGGACCGCTGTAAAAACATCCTATCCACACACAGCAGTAATGACATGTTTGCTTCAGGTTACGACACAATTCCAAGTCCTGTGTAACTCCGAGCGTTTGTGGGCTGATCATTGTGCAAGCTGGGCAGCGTGAGGGAGATGTGCACAGGCGGTCGCACAGCGATTGCATGGCACTTACTCTGATCAATAGATACAAAGTGATTCCGGTATTGTTACACGGTTATTAGTGCCCAGCAAAATGAAGCGATACGCTCCCTGATCTGATTTTTGTGGCAACAGTGCGGCCTCGTTTACTTGGTAATTTAAAAGCAATAGAAAGTGATTGTCCTGTGGAAAAGCAGGAAGAATGCTGATTGTTTTCTTAATTACCCACCATGGAGTTTGGGTCATTAATGCAGGAGTCTCGCCTCTGAACTAATCCAGTAATATGCTGGAGCAGTTGTTTAGCTATGTGATTATCTGGTGGTGGAGATGCTGTACAGTTGCCCTCTGGAAGCCAAACGTTTGCTTGTGTTGGTTTTTATTATTTTATGGTTCTGATGTTGTTTAATAGAATTTTTACAGCTAGATTAATAAAGCCAGGGAGCCAAACTGGATTAGCAGCAAAACCCAACTCTTATCATAAAAGTAAATTAAAAGGAGGGTTTTGTCAGCAAACAGATGTGTGTGGTTGCTGTCTGTCCCTGTGGCAGGGTGTGTTCTCTGTGAATCTGAGGAAGGTGTAGTTAAATAGAGATCCACATAAATACAGAGAAACATGAACACGCATGTTGTTAACCGTGCTATTTATAACGCAGGGGATCAGCTTCTGTTTTAACATAGGGCCCGATCCATCTACCCTCTCTCACGTTGAGTAATACTTTTCTCCTCAACGGTGCTACTCAAAGTGTTCCGAGCAATAGTATTTAATATTCCTCCCCAAATCAAGAGCAGGGCCCCTTATGCTGACTGCATTCCTCAGGGTGAGATCCACGACTCTTTGAGACACCGGACCTGCGCTCGGATCCATGGAGGCAGAGCAAACTGCAGGGTTGGTGTCGAAGGAACAAGAGAATCAGGCCCTTAGAGTTTAAGCCGCTTGCATGCAATACAGATGTACAGAAATCCATCATTTGATGGTCAAGTGCTTAAGTACCCCTAATTATATCCATTCCATTTCCTACCTTTTACTAATTTCTTCTTCAAAATACGACGAGCATGCTTGCTTTGTGGGTGTGTGAATTACGCCAGTTAGATGAACAGCTCCACCGTTATTAGTAGGTAGTCAGAAACGCTAATTAGTTGCTTTCATTATACATTTGTGATAGAGAATTGCAAGTCTCTCCCTGAGCAAACACACCCTTCTCACTGTTGATGGCCCTTTTTCTGTGTAGTTCCCTCCTTTTCTGTTTGGCAGATGTGATCTTGTTTCAAAATAAATGAATCATCTAGCTGTGACTCTGGAGACATATCAGGGTCTGATAGCCTCAAAAACCCACACAAGCTTTGTGTTCCCATCATTCCCACAGCTACTTGATATTCATGAAGCATTTCACCATATAGGAATTGTATAGTGAGCCATACTTTTGAAAGCCCTAATTCACTGTTCTCATAGCAGAAAGTTGAAGTCTGTGGATGTAAAATCTGAATGATGGCTGGGAGCTTGTTGAAAGGGAGAAAAAAAATGTCTCTCTGCCTTTTTCAGCCATCTGATGATACGGGAAGGAGGCCTGGATTATTGCTATTTATTTATTATAAGGTTTCTTTTTCTGTTTTTTTACCTGAGAAATATCAGGAGTACCAGGTCATTGCTGTCTTGTTTTTTGGAGGTCCCACTGCAGCAGTGGTTCTCAACCAGGGGTACACATACCCTTGGGGGTAAGCAGAAGTCTTCCAGGGGTACCTCAGCTCGTCTAGATATTTGCCTAGTTTTACAATAGGCTGCATAAAAAGCACTAGCGAAGTCAGTACAAACTAAAATTTCATACAGACAATGACTTGTTTATACTGCTCCATATACTCTACACTGACATGTAAGTGTGATATTTATATTCCAGTCAACTTATTTTATAATTATTTGGTAAAATAAGAAAGCCAGCAATTGTTCAGTAATAGTGTGCTGGGACACTTTATATTTTTATGTCTGATTTTGTAAGTAGTCTTTATGTGAAACTTGGGGTACACAAGACAAATCAGACCCTGCAAAGGGTACAGTTGTCTGGAAAGATTGAGAGCCCCTGCACTGGAGGATCTAGAGACCTGAAGCAGGACCTTTCATAAATTCGTAGAGTTTATAGCCAAAAGGGACCATTCCATCATCTAGTCTGACATCCTATATATCACAGGCTAGTAAATTTCACCCAATTGCCCCTGTACTGATCTGGATAACTTCCAGAATGGCATCTAGTCTTGATTTGAAGATCAGAGAGGGAGAAGCCACCGCTTCTCTTGGTAGTTGGTTCCTAAGGTTAATCACCCTCACTGTTAAAAATGTGTCTGATTTCTAATGTGAATTAATCAGCCATTGGGTCTTGTTCTGCCTTCCTCCACTAGATGAAAGACTCCTTCAGGGCCTGCTATTTTCTCCCCAGAAGGTCCTTGTAACAGAAATCAAGTCTCTTCTCAGTCATCGTTTGGATAAGCTGAGGAGACTGAGTTCTTTAAGTCTCTAACTCTCGGGCATTTTCTCCAGCCCATAAATAATTTTGTGGCTTTTTTTTTGCATTCTCTCCACTTTTTCAACGTCCTTTTAAAAACGTGGACGCCAGAAGTGGACACACTATTCCAGTACAGGTCTCACCGATGCCATATACAGAGGTAAAATCACCTCCCTGCTCCTTCTCCCGCTTCAGCCAAGGATTTCATTAGCCCTTTTTGCCCCAGCACTAGGAACTCTTATTGAGTTGCTGGTCCACTGTGACCCCCAAATCCTCTTCAGAGTCGCTGCTTTCCAGGATACCAAACCCCATTCTACAGGGATAGCCTGCATGCCTGGTTCCTAGAGGGATAACTTTACATTTGGCTGTATTAAAACACTGTCTTTAGCTACCAATGGACTGGAAAGTACTTCATCATCCTCATGTAATATGAGCACATGATCCTGCTTCTTTCAAAATATAGAACAGGGAAATTCATTGGACACTTCTCCCTTTTATGAATCAATATTTATGGTTTTATCCTCTACTTTTAGTAACAGGCCTATAAGATTGCTAACTCCTCCTAACTGTCCTGAGCCTTGCCTGCCATGGATTCTCCTCTGATGTCTTTAGCTTTTCTTATCAATTTCCTACATTCCTTCACTTCTAATTCACATTGGTTGCTTTCTGTTTTCCTCCTTTTTCCTTGTGATACATTGTTGCTAATTTATTTCTAATTGCTACCTTCATTTAAACTCCTGAACCAGGGTGGGCTTTTACCCAGAGGTCTCCTCTCTCTTCATTGTGGAATTGTGGCTTTTACGCCACGTAATAAACTCTTCTCAAAGAACTCCCCCACGTTTCTGTATTCCTGGTTGGGACTATCCTCTGTTTGCCCATATTGAATGAAATGGGGTCATTATCACTGGTCCCTAGGCAAGCACTAACTTCCAGTAACTTCCATCATAGTAAGGTCCAAATCAGAGATGCCTAGCGCAGGGTGAAACCCTTTAGTGGTACATTTTACTGGTGGCTGCTTGAGACCTCAGCACATGACTCCCAGTAACGATGCGTACCCCCTGCCATTATGCCCACTTGTCTCCGGGTGCAGTGCTGCAGGGGTTTCCTCTCCGGTGCCCCCGCAGTCTGTCGGCCTTTGTGCCGGTCAGCCCTCTGGCTGAGAAGCGGCTGGTCCAAACTCCTTCCGGATAACACAATGGCCAGGTGCAGTCCAAATCCCAAAGAATCAACCTGCCCTCTGGGCCCTGGGGTTCCACTGCCTTTCCCTGGCTCTAGTATCAAGTCCTGTCCTGCCCAGCCTACCTCCTCCTGAGACTGCTAGCCTCCAGGGTCGCTGGCCCTTTGGCCTGTTGCAAGGGCCAGCCAGCTCCCTGTGGCTTCTCTCCCTTGGCTACAAGCTCTCAGATTATATAGAGGGACCAGGTGACTGTTATCACCTCTGGCTGAGGAGTAACTACCTAATTACCACCCAGGTGAGGTGGCTGTGACTGACTGGGCTTTTAATCCTTTCTTGCCTGGATTGGGGGTTGAAGTCGTCCCCCCCCATAACACCACAATTTCACTTTCCACACATTGTTGACAGGTGCTTCAGGAGTAGCTCATCCTGCTCTCTGGTTTGAGTTGGTGTCTAACTCACCTGTACCCCCTCCTGGACTTCGTGACTTAACACATTGAGTCATCCATGGTCCTGAGACTGAGTCATTAGTGACTCTACAACAAGTCCTGTCTCTCATCTAGAGTGCTGGCCCACTCCACCCTTCCTGAGTAGGGTGTAACCAGTGATGTTAACATTCCCCTCATGGACGGTCCGACCATTCGGAAATACCAATTTTACCAAGTTTCTTCTCATCAAGGAGAATTTCCAGTTCCTCTTTTTTGTTACCCAGATTCCCAGTGTCGGTTTTTAAGCCACTGAAAATTTTCTTCTCTTCACCTTCTTTGTCATATTGGTTCAAACTTTTTGCGACAAGCTAAGTTTGTGTTTGTTCTGCATTTGTCTTCGGAGCACCCTCACCTCTGTTGCTCTGACTGCTCCAGTTAGTCTCCAGCTGAGAAGATTAGCCCCCTCCCTAATGTAGGGATGTAGACCGTCGCCTGGTACAGCCCCGTCTCCCACTGGACTGTGGCCCAGTGTTCCACAAGACCAAAACCTTCAGCTTCATGCACGGTGTGCAGCCAGCAGCTCACCTCCAGGAGTTCTCCACTTTGGCGGCAGGAGGTGGGGTTGCTGAATCTTTGAGAGAGATTTTCTCCCCACTATTTATCAGGCATTTGAGTTTGAGGCTTTTAAAAAGCCGGTTCTAAAGAGTGAGTAGAAATCCCTTCCCTTCCCCAGCTCCCCTCCTTCGCTCAGGAGTCCCTTCCTTTGAATGTAGACTAACTCTCTAGTTATGCACAGAGATTCCCATGACAGACAGAGCTGACAAGACCCAAATCTCTTGTGTGAAAAGCAAGCAGAAAACAATCTTTAAAGGACTGGAGTGTTGAGGGCTGGGCTGGGCAGGGCACCTTTGGGTCTGCAGGTTTTGCTGGGTGTATGTATTCATATCTGCGCAGAACTGTGCTCGATAAACCCAAGGTTAGCTAAATACTCCTTTTCTGTCTGTGCACCCAGGAAATACCATGATGACTGTGATGGAATACATGGGGAACGGAGTGCTGGATTCGTTTCTCAGGGTGAGTGTACCTGGGTGTCGGTTACCCCCTTGAACTTTGCCGAGCAGTGCTGCCATTTTCCTATCTGAAGAGTCACAGCACGAGCTGTTTGTGCTACTTGAGCCCAAGCTGAACCTCCCTGAAATGCAGCCTTCCCTACTCCTGCCTTGCAGAAACATGAGGGCCAGTTCACAGCCGCCCAGCTGACTGGTATGTTACATGGGATTGCCTCCGGCATGAAGTACCTGACCGAGATGGGTTACGTACATAAAAGCCTTGCTGCCCACAAAGTCCTTGTGAATAGCAACCTGGTTTGCAAAATATCAGGCTTCAGACAGTCCCAGGAAGATAAAATGGAGACCATCTTCACCACCATGGTAAGCTGCGGGGGACTAGCAAGGACGGGGAGCTGCTCTCAGTGCAGTACCTGTGCTGTGACAGAGCTGGATACTCACTAACTTTGTGGGGTCATTGGAGGGGGGAAGTGGAAGGGCAGGGTTGGGTTTGAAGGTGCATGAGATGGGATATCAGGGACAGTCACTGAGGAACACAAAGATGAGCTCCCTGGGTAACGTGGTTATAAGACCATCTCTTGTGCTTGGAAATAGACTGATATGTTTGTGCAGTGTAGAGTTTGAGAAGGAAAACTTTCCAACCTAGGTTCAGAAGGCAGGAGGAATTCCCTTGTACAAAGTACAAATCATGGAGGTCCTGGAAATGTAAGAATAGAGAAGCCTCTCTTCTATGGACCTGGCGGGTGACAGAACCACATTCCCTGCAAAAACCTGATAGAGAAAAGAACAAGTCCAGATCCCTCTGAGATGCTGAAAGCCCCTTCCACGATGGAGCCAAGGGTCTGAGGCTATTTGTGCAGATGCTGCTGCCACCCATCAGAACAGGAACATAGTTCTGTCATGGCAGGGACTCAAGGAGTGTCTTCTTGCACCACCCTGCCCCTGAGAGAGAGATCTAACAGTCTTCTCCCAGCAGCTGGGGTTACTGCTGTCGCCAGAAACCAATCTGGTTCCACTTCACAGGGTTTGTGAGAAAGTTTCCTTTAGCTTTGGCATCTGGTTCCAATGTTTCCCAAAGCAAAATGCAAACCTTGGGCAGAATGGCCACGTTCTCATGCTGAATCTTTGCAAAACTGGATCTTTCCTTGTTTCGATGCAAAGCCACAATCAGGATAACCTAAAACTAGGCCCAGCATCACCCAAGAGGTTTGCAGGCCTGATCTGAATGTTGAGTAGGGATCAAAATCTGAAGCCAGCTGAGTTTCACGGCTCTGCTTAATACCAGATGCAGCAAACCTGCTGCAGAAGCAGTATGTTTCCTGGTTGCCTGGTCTCTTCCTGCTACATGAATCCAGTATTTGCATGTAAACAGTTTTCTTTTCAGCTGGAGATTAAAGTAAATGGCAGTGAAATGCTAAGGCTTTCTGCTTAAGCTCCCTATGAATCTGAATCAGTGCAACACAAATTCTTCCCCTCTCATCGCCTGTGTGTGTGTGTGTGTGTGTGTATACATACACCTGCACGCACTGGGAGCTGTAAGCAGCTCACACAGCCTGAGGGTTCGTTGTGTGTGTTTTATCACATGAATTTCATTACAAGGTTTTCAGTTAAGAATTTAAGACCTGTCTGATTCACATACGTACCTATTCAACGTTCCCAGCTAATACACTTCCTAAACACACACACACACAGATGGGGCTTGAGATCCCATTACAGTCCCCCAGAAACACACCCGCACCCCAAACATGGCACTTGGAGGGGGGATCTGTCCTGCAGACTCCGTTAGGGAGGCAAATTGCAGGTTCGGGGGAATGACGCACACTTCCCTAAGAGCACACCTTTAGCATGGCAGTAGAACACTGCTCGCACTAATTCACTCACAGTCCAATTTAGACCATTTCACTTGCCAGTGAAGAAATCAATGTACAGTATAAAAGATGGTTTCATTTGATGCCCCACTGCCAGCATAGGTGAGCCAGCACCATTGTGTCATCACAGTAACCACGGCATTCGTCCTTAAAAACGACAGTGGATTCTTCACTCCAACGAACACGTACTGTCACAGGCAGTATTCTGGTAGCGCAAAGAACTAGCGGCCGCTGACACCCTGCCTTCAGCCAGCCCTTGGGACTGAGGGTGTGACCCTCCCTGCCTTGCTGGCTTGCGCGGGGAGCTGCTGATGCTCACCAGCTCTGGCAAGCCTGGCACTTAAAGATCTGGGTTAGTCTGAGTGTCTGATGCTGGTGGAGTGTTCCGCACGTCCCCCCAGCCCAATCGAGTGTCCGGCCAGGGGAGAGCCTGACTTGGAGGCTCTGTGGAACTGGAGAGGAAAGCATGTTGCTCGGAGCTATACCTGAGACTCCGAGTCCCAAATGTCATGGATGGAAACCTCGTTGGTGTTAACGAGAGACTGGAGGCCAGTTATGTCCCAGTTGAGGAAAGGCTGGAGAGACCTGTGGAAGCACCAGGTCTCCCTCTCTCTAACAAGCAGGGTGTGTGACTGCCGGAGTCTGTCTCTGTCTCCAGCAGTTAATTTTATTAAAGTTAATGTTTAAAATCAAATTTACCCAAGTTAAGAGGGAAGGTGCTGTACCTCTGGGGTCAGGCTTGGGTTATGGGGGATTGCAAGTCTCGGTTCCAAGGTTCCCGAGGTACATACATATCGCATAACCAGCATAGATCCAGACGGGGTGTGGGAGTTTTTTAAAGCATCAGTGGCTAAGTGGGCTCAGGTGCGCCACCCATGGAACGTCTCCAGAGTCCAAGTCAGCGTTGGCGTAGTGCGTAAGCACATGGGTTAGAGGAGCCCAGTGCCGGCTGTCCCACGTGCAGCCAGAAGGGTTCTGCAGACACTAAATACAAGAGAGGTGAGGTGGGAGGGAGTGGCAGTGTGTTTTCGTTCAATATTAATGGATAAAATGCCATCAGCTCCTTCAGGAGACGGAACCTCCCACGTTAACGTTTCAGGTCTCGCCCTGCCCTTCGGACTAGCATTGGTGCTTGTTCCATTGTTAAAGAATTTGGTACAAAGTTTTCCCCTCGCGTTAAAACTGTACGTGGTGCCAAGGTCTGTGGTCGCTAAGTGCTCCACGACCCAGGTGGGCCGCATGCTGATCGGAGGCGTTAGTGAGCCTGTGTGAACGCCTCCCTTGTCCTGCTGCTGCTGAGAACCTCATGTTTTCCTTTCTTCTGCCTGGCCAGGGCGGGAAGAGCCTGGTGCTGTGGTCAGCCCCCGAAGCCATCCAGTACCATCGCTTCAGTTCTGCCAGTGCCGTGTGGAGCTTTGGCATCGTGATGTGGGAAGTGATGTCTTACGGGGAGAGACCCTACTGGGACATGTCCAACCAGGACGTGAGTCGCTTTGCAGCCACTGTACTCTGACCCCACGGAGAGAGCGGCACTTGATACGTGACCATGTTTCAATGCTGGGCATTGGTGGATAGCGGGAATTGCAAGCCATGCATGTCGCTCGAGTGGCTCCGTATTTCCATCTTGGGTTAACGTGGTGCAGGGGGACGTTTGTATATTTTTGGCCTATAAGAGAAGAGCTATGCAAATAACCCAAAACATTTAAAAACAATTGTTTCGGGTTAAACAAGATGGTCTCTTCAGCCTGAAACAAAACTTTTCATTTACTTTTTGACTGTTTTTACCCTTTTAAAATTTTTAATGACACTGAAAGAAAATTTGAAACAAAATAAATAATTTTGAATTGATACATTTTGTTTTAACGTTTTCAGAACAAAACGTTTTGGTTTTTTCAGGGTTTTTTCCCCAACCAAAACAAACAATTTGGCAATTTCAACACGAAGTCACTAAATGTTTCGGCAATTTGTGGTGAAAAATGTTTCCTCTGAATAATTTCGCGCCGCTCCCTCCAAGCAACGGGAATGTCGTCCTCCAGTAGTGCTGACAGACAGGGACTGCTTTGCTGCTCTTCAATGACTCCTTTGTATAACTCTCTTCTCTTCCTGTCCGGGTGGGATTTCAGGTGATCAAGGCCATCGAGGATGGGTTCCGGCTGCCTCCCCCGATGAATTGCCAGCCCCCGCTTCACCAGCTCATGCTGGATTGTTGGCAGAAGGATCGCAATGAGAGGCCCAAGTTCTCACACATCCACAATATCCTAAGCAAGATGCTTCAAAACCCAGAGCCACTAAAATGTACCAGCTCCACTTGCACCAGGTGAAAATCTGCCTATATCACTGCTCTTTCTCTTTCATTCTCGAACGCCGCAGCGTTCGCCTCTGTATGTATCCCATAGGCCACCCCACACAGCTCGCTCCAGGGTGACACCAGGTGCTGAACTCAGTTACGCTGAAGCAGATCCAGAGCCACTCCATCTAAATCATTACAGTAACTCCCAGACTCGCACTGCGGTAACTGAGATCAGGACTGGGCCATCGTGGAATCTGGCTGAGTTGCCGGATTCCTGCTCAGTTGAAGCTGGGTTCACAGCGTGCTGCGTGGATCTCACTGGGCTGACACCCGTGATAGGAACCTGCCAAGCCTGGGCTCCAGCGAGTTGCCGCAGGGGAATGGCCCCAGTTCTACCCTCCCACTCCTCTGGGAACACAGGGCCCTGGATGCAGCAAGACCAAAACAACCTCATTGCACGGGGTGGGTGGCAGGATTCCCAGAGGGCCCCCAAGGAGTCTGTCTCCCCTGCCCCCCTCGATCCGGGTGGCACCCTGCATGCCAGTGCAGAGACAGGTGTCGTGGGAAGTGGGATCCAGCGAGTGCTCTATTGTGAGGGTCCCTTGGCCACTTAACCCACGTTGTTTGATGATTTCTCCCACGCTGCCTCTACTGCAGAGCCAAACCTCTCCCCTCCTCCAGCGAATGCAGTGCCGCCGGGTCAGAGAGACTCTCCTCAGCCCCAGCGCGTGGGTCTGGGAGCTCTGGCTGGAGGAGGATTCTGTAACTGAAGTTGACTAAAAGCAGAACCCTTCAGATGAAGAACCAGGGGTTTAAGAGCAGCTCCTCTCCTGACTTGTCAGCAGAGACGCTGCACGTTGGGGTTTGTCTGTGTCAGGCCGTGTTATGTGACTGAATGACTTCATAAGCAATGGATAGCCGTGCTGCACGGCATCTGGGACTTTCAGGTGCCCTGCTCTGCTCCGGTTCTTGGTGGAGGGGTGAGACCTGCTCCAGGCAGACTGAGCCTTCTCTATTGTTGGATCACTTGGGAGGAAGGTGAAGTGCCCAGTAACCGAGGATCACAGCCAGAGACAGCTCCTGATGGAACTGCAGAACATTCTGTGATCCCAGATCCCCACAGAGTGGGTAGGATTAGGAAACCAAATAGCCACCATCCCTCAGTTCTCCCCTTCCTTACATGGCCAGTGCTCAGGTTAAATTTCCATGTGCCTTGCCTCAGTTGTTCCCTGAAAACTTGCATGGGCCAAGCCCACTTTCATGCCTGCTAGAGAGGTAGCTGCCAGGTTCAGTCCTATGGATGGGAGCTTAACCTTCTTTTGGTGTGATCTAACTGCTCATGTGCTGTTTGAGTTGGCAGGCCTCACAATCCATCCATCCCCCTGGCCGAACGCACTTTCTCAGCCTTCCCGTCCTTCAGCTCCGTGGGTGAGTGGCTGGAAGCCATAGAGATGGGCAGGTACAAAGATAACTTCACCGCTGCGGGGTACTGCTACCTGGAGTCTGTGGCAAGGATGATGGTCCAGTAAGTGAAGAGTGTCTTAGGAATAAACCAAGAGAATAGATGCGGCTTGAAAAAGCCTGCTCTGAAATACCAGGCAGCTGCTATTACTTGTGAGCAAGAGATATGCATGGAGCGTCTGACCCCCTGGGAGAACGTGCTCCAGGAGAGGTTGGAGCTGCATGTGTTTGTGTGTGTATCTGTCCTTTGTTTGACCTGTAGATTTTAAAGCTGGAAAACCGGAGGCCACCTATAGTATTTATGGGAGAGTGGCTGGCCGGCTACCTCTCCCAGCACAGCTCAGATCTTACCTGGAGTTTATAAAGCTGGAAATAAATAGTCCTATTTCCAGATAATACAGGTAGCACAGCCCCCAAGTGAGCTCCTGATCTCACTGTAACCCTTTTCCTCCAGCCTGCTTCCTTTGGGTTTGGCTTCTCTTGTCGTGACTCCTGTCACTGTTCCAGTCTTTCTCTTGTATAGTGGAGATTACAGTGTGGGACCCCTTCCAAAGTCTGCAGGCCAGAGAGCATCGGTTGCCTGTGAAATGCCCAGCATGCTGTGGGCATCCATGGTCATTGAACAGTCTCTGTCCCTGAGCTGCTGTCTCCTTTGGCTGGGACTCCTTGTGTGGGCTGCTCCAAAGAGAATTGCATGGGGCTTCGCATCCACACGAGCTGTAACCCTGAGTCCACAGTTGCCTTTTAGTCTAAAATCTCTATTTCCACCATTTGCTGGTGGCCTTGGGGTCTGACGCTGTGAACTCACCTCTTCTGTGGGGCTTGTTTTCCAGAGATGTCCTGAGTCTGGGAATCACCTCAGTGGAACATCAGAAAACCATCCTGAGTGGGATCCAGACCCTGCGAGCCCAGGTGATACAGATGCACGGTCGCGGCGTGCAGGTGTGAGCCCAGCAGGGACGGACACTTTCAGAGCACTGACTTAAAACTCCCTGGGGACAATGATGCAGCAGGGCCGGGAGCTGGCCCCTAAACTGGACCAAATCTCTGAGACTTTACCAAGAGCAGCTGTGTGAGTGGGAGGTAGGAAGTACAGGTCTGCTGCAAACTAGTCATTCCAGAGTAGTGAGGGAGTCTAGGAATTGGTGTTTCCTTCCTGGGGGTCTCCCTACAGCAGCTTTAGTGCAGTGTGCTTGGTTGGTTGTGTTTTTCCCCAGCAATGTTTTGTAGGATGAGAGTCAAGCTACAATGATGCTGTTTCACATGGTACCTAGGTTAACAGGGTGGACTGGACACTTGTGTACTGGATTTGACTGTATTTTAGTATCTAGTGTTCTACTGATAAATCCATAGGTATTTTTTATACAAGCTGATGTATTTTACTGACCCCACGAGTACCTTCTGTTGTATAGAGTCCAGAGCACAGCACACTCTAATGGCCTAGCTTTGAAAGATGACTTGGCCCATCCATTCCTGTCCCTCCAGAGCAGATTCTGAATTCCCACTCTTCCCCAGCGTGATCCATTCCATTCCAAGGGTTACCTCATTAAGTCACAAAAAGTGTGTGAAAAGTAACTAATTCAAACCAAAGTGGCAGGCAAAAGTCCCCAAATTCCGTCAGAAATGGGACAGATAAAATTAGGGAGTCAGGCTGGAAGAATTATTATTGTATTATTGAGAAGAATGCAGCGTGTATCTGTTCTTCTTCGACTGGACTCTGTCCATTCTCACTCTTGGGACGTGCCCACAGCCACTGACAGAACAACCCTGGTTACAGGTGAGTAGCCTCCATTTCTCCCCCATAGACTGTCCCAACTAACTCCCTAAAACCGTTCTCTGGAGCAGGACTAGAAATGGCTTCTCAGAATCACCCTGTTAAAGCATAGCATGATGTTGACGTTTCACATCACGGATCAGTATCCCACTATGTCAGAGCCAGAGGGTGCATCCCAAAGCTGCTCGCTGGGTGTGAGACGCCTGGTGCTATAGCACCAGGAAGGGTTGGGCCGTGTGCGCTGTCTGGGATGAGAACGCTCTACGCTGTTTGGGAGTTGGTTTGATTAGCCACAGCTGGGGTGTCAGTTTGAGGTAATTTCAACGGTGGTGTTGCCAGATTAGATCCCAAGACAGGAAATTCTGGCCAAATGGGTATCCGAACGGAATCAATGAACCAATGGGATCTCTGAAACTGTCATGAAATCCAGACAAGGCAGGCAGTATCAGCACCTTGTTTTGTTGTAAATAACAGGCCCAGTCCTGCATTCCTTGCACATCAAACACACCCACTGTCTCCAGTCAGGGATCAGACCCTACATCACCAATGGCATTTGCTTAGCAGTACAAGTTTCCTTTAAGTTAGTTAATTAAATGGATTTTTGCAGCCTGGATTCAGTTGGATGTACAGAGTTTTGTAGGCCTTTGATTATCATCTATAAGCATTACAAGAGAATTATCGATGATGAAAGACAAAGATTTACAAAGGGAATTAATGCAGTGGAAAGTATTCAAAGCACATTTAGAAATCTGTTTGCATTGTGATTCAGATCTGCCTACTAGACTGCACCATAGGGATAGAAAACTAAATTGAAACTAAATACAGGACCTTAACTCCTCCTATCCCCGGTAGTGTTGGCACAGTATTTACCCACTGCCTGGGCATTCTTCCTTCTGCTCTCGATGAAACAAAGAGGCAATCGTATGTTTTAATTTCTCTCTGGCGTGGTGACGATGCAGAGTCTGTTACATTGGGGATCTAACACTTTTGTTCAGAAAGAGATACTCTAAGGTGGGCTTTTTAAATTGTCCATACTTGAGTAAAATTCTGCTTCGGCTCAGGTGCTGTGATCTGTTCAGATTCCGGAGACCAACGGTTTTGTTAGCAGGATTTAGTTTTGTTCAGATTTACGTTGGTTTTGTTGCATTTCAAAGCAAAACGGAACGTTCTTCTCGAGAGGGGATTTTCTCAGATAACATTTCACAAACACTGCCTATAAGGTGGGGAATGATGTGTACATGTTTTGTGACTCTCTGTTGACAGTTACGTGGGACTTGGCTGGCTTGCTTTCTTGGTTATTTTGTACTGCCTCCTTGCCTCATCAGCCTGGATTTATATCTGTTTAGTTCCACAGAGGGACAGTATGGCCCTGGGGATGGATGTACAGAGAGTGTTCATCATGTCACTACATTAGATCCTCTAGATGTGGCACCAAGAGGGTGTGTATTTTAAGTATAACAGAGGTTGCAGCTAAAGCTCTTTGTAATGTTCCTGCCCATATAGAGGCTTTCAGGCAATGTCACATCCGAACTCTCCTGTCAAAGGATCCTGAATCCAGGCAGCTCAGACTGTGTGAGCTGACCTTGAGGAAGTTGCCTCCTTTCTTTGCAGGCTTCTGAAACAAATTTAAGCAATTCCTGCTAGTAAAGGAAAGGAACAATGGAGTAACGAGCACAAATTGTGTGCAAAGCAAGAGATAAGAAATATTGCCCTGTAGAGAACTGGACCGGTCATTTGTGCTACAAATCTACAGAGCATGCGGAAATCAACATGCCTTTCAACACACCATTTCTTGGGGGAATTGCTGGGGTTGGGAACTCTCCCTGAGGTAGACAGACTCTCTTCTCCTTGTCACTTCTTCAGTTAAGAAAAATACACCTGCCCCAATGTCACCTGGTTAACGTTTAATGGAAAGAATTTGTCTTCAGGGTTCATCTAATTCCAGCCCACTTAGTCAACATCCTGTTGTTTCCTACCCAGACAAATAATAATTGTGAACTGAAACCTTCATTTGGTAGAAATGCCAGATCCTAAGGATCAAGTGCAATTTGTATGCTCTTTATGTTTACATTTTATCTATAGAGAAAGTGTACTATAGTCCTCTAGGTAAGAAATTGAACCAACTTGATTCCTGATCATTTCATTGCATTTGACATCTTCCCTTGGGTTCCCAATATCTGTAACCTCTTGGCTGTGATCGTTTCTAAGGGTTGTGTGCACTCTGGATGGTGTGCAGAGCTGCTGTGGAGACCATTTCTGGAATAACTGGGTCCAGCTCTGGGGTCTACTCTTTAAATAGGTGTTGAAAAATTGGAAAGGGCCCAGAGTACGCTGAGACACGTGAATTAAGGCCTGGAAAACATGCCGTACAACAGGAGTCTAAAGGAGCTCAATCTATTTAGCATATTGAAGACAATGTTAACAGGTGATTTGTTCATGATCTGTAAGTACCTGCAGAGGGAAAAGCTACCTGAGGACTCGAATCTAGCAGACAAAGGCATAACAAGATCTCATGGCTAGAAACTGAAGTCAGCAAAGCTCAAAGTGGAAATCAATTGCAGATTTTTAGCAGTGACTCTAATCAGCCATAGGAACAGATTGCCAAGAGATGTGGTAAATTCTTCATCACTTGGAGTCTTTAAATCAAAACTGGATCTCATTCCAAAAGATGGGGTTGAACTGGAGCATAAATTGTTGGGGTTAGATGGAGGAATCGCTGAGTGAGGTTCTCTGGCCTGTGTCGGGCAGGAGGCCAGACTAGGTGAGCATAATGTTCCCTTTGGCCTTAAAATCTACCATGCTAGCAGAGGAAGGCCTAACACGAGCCCAAGGGCTGGAAGTTGAAGCTAATCAAATTCAGACTGGAACTAAAGTGTGAATATTGACCCATGAGAGTAATTCACCATTGGAACATGGCATTGAGGGTTGTGGTGGATTCTCCGGCACTGGCCATTTTTAAACTGATTGGATGTTTGTCTAACAGATTTGCTGTTGGGATTATTTTGGGCAGTTCTCTGGCCTGGGCTAGGCAGGAGGTCAGACTAGGTGATTACTGTGGTCCCTTCTGGCCTTGGAATCTGTCTCTATAATTGGCAGCTCTTGGAGCCAGATGACTTGTATTCTGGAACATGTAATCAGTTCACTGTCTAACCAAGGAGCAGCGTTTACAGTGATATGGCTCCCCTGAGCTAGATGCGTCCTGTGTTTATATCCAGTAGAATACTATGCTGCCAACTGGGTGGACTGACCGACCAACTGGCAGACTACCTAGAGGCTTGGCGGTGGAGGTTAAACGGCTGGGAAGTCCCAGTAGTGTTTCAGCAGCAATGCTGCGGCTTGCGGGATGGTCAAGTTTCTTGAGTCCTCACGGAACCGAGACTGAAACGGGAGGTTCCCTTCCCAGAAGATTAAGCATCATTCCCTGTTGCCTAGGAATGATTCAGGTGCCTATTTTTAGAGAAGCCCTGCACACCTAAAAATGGCAACCTTACTAACCTCAGATCTACTTGCTCTTCAATCAGTGCAGAGGCTCCAGGAGCTCATTAGCCAGTCGGTAGGTGACAGTAGGCTGATTAAGGAAGGATCTAATTAATTCAGAGCGGCAGGAGGGGGAGAGTCAGCGCACAGCTGCCCTCTTAGCCCCAGCTTCTTAAAGGGCCTCCTGTCTCATCAGTTAGCTGAGTACTGAGGGGCAAGTCACAGCTCCATTGACTTCATCAGAGTAACAACTGTTTATGGCAGCTGAGGATCTGCTCCTACGTTCTGAAACACCTGGTTTAACGTAGTTGAAAAAAGTTCTGTCCCTTCTTCTCAATTATAATCAGAATTGCAAACTGCTGTGTCTCATGTTAGGTGGACTCTACCTGTTTCCAGAGTGAACCTGGGAGTTTAATTACTTTGCTAACTAACTCTTTTGAGGGGCTCAGGCTTGGTCATTGGAAGGGCCTCTCTGTTAGTCCCATCCAAAAGCTCTGTACTGTGTCTGTCAACAGAAACAAGACATAAAATTGCCCAGGTCAGAGAACACTTTCCTTGATCTGAACGATAAACTTCTTTAACTGGGCTCCCTCCTCAACAGTGCAGCCGCTAAACAAGATGAATGGAAGACGTCATTGATAGGGCCCTACCAAAGTCATGGTCCATTTTGATGAATTTCATGGTCATAGGATTTAAAAAATTATAAATTTCATGATTTCAGCTATTTAAATCTGAAATTTCACAGTGTTGTAATTGTAGGGTCCTGACCCAAAAAGGAGTTGGGGGGGGGAGGGGTACTGCTACCCTTACGTCTGCACTGCTGCTGGCGGGGGGCTGCCTTTGGAACTGGGCGCCCGGCCGACATCCACCGCTCTCCAGCCACCAGCTCTGAAGGCAGCACAGAAGTAAGGGTGGCAGTACTGTGCCCCCCACCCCAAATAACCATGTGAAACCCCTGCAACTCCCTTTTGGGTCAGGCCCCCCCAGTTTGAGAAATGCTGGTCTCCCCCTTGAAATCTATATAGTATAGAGTCAAAGCACACGGAAGTCCAGATTTCACAGTCCGTGATGCGTTTTTCATGGGCATGAATTTGGTAGGGCCCTCGTTATAGATGATTGTTATATTTTTAATATTAACTTCTGTCCCATTAGTAGCTAATCTTTAGGGCTGTGTTCATTGCCTTTATAAGTAAATGAATTAGCAACACTGTTTTTCAGCTGCTCGACCAAGGGGATTTATTCTCTTTCCCATCCAATCTTGGACACAGTGAGAACCGGCTTCCCTCCTCTGTTAGTCACAGGGATGCCCTGATCAATTGGGCTGTAAGGAAGGTTTAATGCTTCTGCCCCAGTACTCCCTCTCTTTCCCATGGGGCATCAGTGTAATCTGACCTATTACAAGGAGAATAAAGAACACTTTTTAGTCATCAGCAGGCTTTACTAGAGCTAATAAATGCAATTACAACAGGATTAGATTGTGGACGTTAATGTGGCCAAGGCACCAAGTGTCTGTGTGTGTGGCAGAAACCACACCCAAGTAGGATCGTGCTCGGGTCTCCCTTCCCCTCCCCTGCTCCAGGAGTGGAAAAAACCACTGAACCCAAATCGGAGTTCCTTAGCTTGTCCCATTGGCCAAAGGCGCCTCACTGCCATAAGCCAGGCCACAGTTCTGTACCTCTGTAGGTATGGGGCCGTTACCTTGTATGTAAACAGCTGAGCTCCCAGTGGCCACATGCTGGGTGCTTTTCCTCAGCCAGGGCTCTGGCTGCAAGCATGAAACAAACAGAACAGCCGTTAGATCCCAGATGTCCTTCCGCAGAGCAAAGCGACCCAAAGAACTTAACATGCAAAGGCTCTGTGACCTCCTCAGGCGCAAAGACTTTGTCAACATCTGCATTGGCAAGTGACGTGGTGGCCAGTGAGAACCAGCATTTCCCTGCAGGAGGGTGCTGAAAACCCCCAGGTTGTCTGGGTAAGTGAGAAGGACTTGTCAGGCTGGTAGTGGGTGTCCTGGTTCAGCACATGCCTGTATGGCCAGCAGGCCATGCTCCCAGGGACGGATTTTCTGCACCCATCATGCCTGCAGAACCTGCGTTTTCTTATGCAAGAGGTGCTCTTGGAAAGACACTGTAATCTGAGTAACCAAAAATTACTCTGGGCTCACAGGTCAATTATATTTTTAGTGCAAACAATTGGCCCTGAGCAGCAGCTTCAATCCTCCCTTCAAAGAGGCTTATCAGCAATTGCTTCCTCTGTCCCTGCACTCGCCAGTGAAACAATCTCTCTTCTGGAGCGGGAGGGGTGTCCATCTGCCCACCTTCCAGGCTGCCTGTTCAAATTCGCGCAAAGCTCCTTTGGGTGCCTCTGCATTAATCTGCTAACAACGCTGTGACAAAGGGTTTTCTTTGGATGATAATCGGAACAAAAGTGCCGGTGCAAAAAGCACTCGACAGGCAAAGCTGCTCTTGGCATGCTGCTAATGCAGGGCGATGCCAGCGGGAGGACTTAATTCTGTTAATTTACAAAGGATAAACTTTGATTCAGGTCTCGGCTGAGGGCTTGACATGAGGCTGTTATTCTCACACTTCGGCTTTTCCTTTTGTCGCTTAGTCTCCGGCTCCCTTCTGGCGAGGATTCTGTGCCTCGTGTGGCTGCCAGGGCCAGGGGCTCCTGGTACTTCTCAGGAAGAGTATGGAGCACACCCGAGCATGTCATCCCCATCTCCTGCTAGGTGTCTGAGCCTATTATTGGCTTCCTGAGACTCATTTTTCCACTCCTTGCTCCGGTAGCATAACTGCCAGCTCAACCCACGAACAGGGAGCAACGTTTAAGGGCTTTTCCACGTAATCGCTAACTAATACCTCTCCGTTGGAAATGCAACTCTGCCTGGGTACAGGTCATTTGCCTGCAGCAATCTGACTGTCCCGCGGCGGCAGGAGGGAATAATTGTACAGTGTCTCTGCTGTTCAGCTCCACCGGCATTAGCTGCGTTAGGAGCCCGTGTGTGGCCAGGCTGCCATCTGGCACCGGGGTCGGAGCTGGACTCCTCAGCTTCTCTCCCATTGTTTGTTAAAGCCGCTTCTTGCATCTTGTCTTCAGGCGGACAGGCCCTGTCCTGAAGGATTTGCCTGTGTGGGCCATGCCCTGCACAATGTGGCCCTAATCTGATCCGGGTCTCTGGCCACTACCACAATTCCCATAATCCCATACCAAAGTGGGGTCAGGCAAACAGGTGTCTCTCTGCTGGGGGATACTGAGGGGAGGTTTTAAAGTAGGAAAACTAGCATCATATTCGATAGCGTTAGTACCCACGAGACCTGAGGGAAGGGACAGCCTGAAATGAGGATGGTCCAAAGTGCTGAGCTTAAAAGCACTCAGCACAAATTAGCTCCATTCTTTAATTTAACAAGAGTTCGTGTGTTCAGACTAGCGAGGTATTAAATACTGCGTCCCCCCTCCCCCCCAAACCAAAATTGGAATCAAGTTGGTTCAGCAGTTTAGGTTTTTTGATATTCATTAACCACATGTGATATAATGTAAATACATACTGGAAAAGTCAATATATATTTTTATAAGTTTCAACAAATGTAATATAAGAACACAAGGGACACTGAACATTTCACTATTTGAATTCTAGTCAGGTGTCTCCAGGAATCACTATTGTTTTGGAATAATAATATAATTAATAAAGCTATATTGACATTTTTGTTAATTTTGTATGTATTGACTCATGTTTGAAGGTTGCAATAAAGAGATACTATATGCATAAGTGAAACCCAATCCCAGCTGCGCCAGGACTTGTCTGTGTGGGTTTATTTCAGGTTTTCCAGCGAAATGCACCAATTAGCACAGATGGCAATTATCAGCCAATTAGTAGTTTAAGCTCTGGCAAGGTGTGACATAATATGTCAATGGTTTATTAAGCAGTGTGCATGCTGAAAGGGAAACCTCCCCTCCTGCGGCAGAGGTGGTGGGTAAGGCGGAAGCCCGTCCAGTGATATTTTTTTGCCTGGTGTTCTACCTCAACAATCCACCCCAGGTACTTTCTCGGGTGAAGAGCTGTCTCCATCTGCCTGTTTCCAGGAGCAAAGGATCCCTCAACATTATTCCAAAGAGCGGGTGACCTTGGAGCTATCAGCCGTGCAGTCTCGCTGTCAATACAGATGCAAACTGTCAGTCTATTATGCATGTTGCTGCAGGGAGGGGAGGGGGAAGGATGCTTGGGATAGAGGGAAAACCACTGTAGATACTGTGTGTAAAGCCGATAATTGTTTTATTGAGTAACTGAAAGCAGCGTACAGCCAGCAGGTTAAATGCAAACGCAGCACAGAAATAGGCCTTTAGAAATAACCAGTTCAGTGCAACTCTTCGTCAGCCCCAATTTCTCCTCTCAAGGGGCTTGAATATTAATGCTAATCTACATAAACAAAAGCCCCTTTTCAGCATCCTGACAGTAGCAACAGCTGCTAGAAGGAAGCTGAATGGAAACTAAAATGGGTGAACTCCTCTGTGCTCCCTGCAGTCTACCAATTAATTCAGCCAGCCTCCACCAGGAGCTGTCTCAGCAAATCACACGGGCACTAAAGAAATCATCAGAGGCTCTAGCAAGTCAAGGGGATAGTGCACTCAGCTCTCCAGCTGGGAAATAAGGCCCCGGTTCTGCCAGCACGTAAGCACCTCCTTAGTCCTGCTGAGGTCAGGCGTAAAGTCACATGCATGCTTGTTTGCAGGAGTGGGGGCCTCCCTCTCGTCTCACTAGCAAAGAACATTGGCTCCATCAGTTCTCCTCTCCTCTGGGCCAGGGGGCTCACTGGTCAACTCTCTAGGATCCTGCAGAAAGCGCGAGACCAGGTGCAGCTGGGAGGGGTGAGTGAGTGCAGATCACGGATCCAGGATCTTTGCCTAAGCCAGTGGTTCTCAGCTTGCGGGCCACTTGCGCTGAGGGGTGGCCCGTGTGACCTCCTCAGGGTAGAATATACATTGTGTGGATGCTGCCCACATAACACTTACAGAGCTGCATATGCAGCCCACAATGGTAAATAGATTGAGACCCACTGTCCTAGGGGCTGCGGTGGCTCCACCCGGGCCCGCGCCCTAGGCTTCAAGGCGCACCGCAGCGGACAGGAGGCTGGACAGGTGGGGCCTGACTCCTTTAAACGTGGACCAAGGAGCTTAAGTTCATGCCTGTCCTGCACAGGTGGGTGTGGGGCTCATCCATCACTGGCTGAGGATGCGCTTTTGCTACACCCCAGCCTCTCCGAGGGAGCTTGCCAGCTGCGTGGTGAAGACGCTGCCTTTGTAAATCAAGCCATTTATAACTGAAATCTTGTCATACTGAGACAAACCCTCCACTGGCTGCATGCGGCGGCACGCAGGAAGAACTGAAATCATTAGCGGCTGCCTACCTGCACGTGAGGGAAAGGTTAGCCTGAAAGGCAGGGTTAGCAGCTGGGGCTAATTGGAGACAAAACCAAGGTTTAAAAAAATTGTTCGGGTGACAAGACAACCGCCCCCTGCCCCGAAATACAAACCAGCCCTGACCTTCACCGTCCTCAGGGGCTCTGACGGGGAAGGCTCAGTAGGAGGAGCAGCCTAAACACTGAACATCTGCCGGTTTGCCTCCCCTGGGCGCTGGGCCTGGGGTTTAACTGCACTCAGCTGAGTGACTCTGGTGTGGTTTCTGCACCAGCATCGAGTGGTTGAATTTGGGGACCGCAGTAAAGCTCATGCTCCTGAGCATCAAGAAGTTGAACAAAATTTAAATCCATTAAAATTACAGTAATTAGAGGTGGGCTTTGGGGGATCTGGGGTAGATAAGGTCAGATGAATAGTTTTTAATACAAATGTTTAACTTTTTTAACTGATAGAAATGTAATTATTTGATTGAAGCAACTAGGGGCACGAGATTATATAAACATTGCTGATCAGACAATTCAACAATGGTTTTTTAAAATGATGTACTTAAAACTGTAAAACAGATTTTAACTCTAGAAATAAATATAAAAACAGCACCATGGTCCCACTTTGCATCAGGCCCTTCCATTGGTACAGTGACTATGGGAAGGCGGGAGCCCTTGACCATTGCTCTTGTCCCCACTCGGCATCCCAAGCCTGGGGCCTTGGCTCGAGTGCTGCGAGGATGGCCGTGTTAGTCTCGTGAGTGTCCGTAGGGCGCAGCGTGGCCCTGCTGGTAGTGACGCAGGAACTCTGCTCGAGTTCGGTTGAAACTCACTGTTGAACAAGTATTTCCCACCCCAAGGTGCTCTAAAATCCTCACGCTTAGGCAGATCGTCTTGAAAATCTCAGTGCCTCATGGGCATCTGGGGTAGGGTACGTGATCCAAGTTTGGTGGGGGGGCAGAGGTGCCCAAGATATAGCCCTCCTAAAAGATCATTCAACATCACAAACGCATAGTTTGGACCTCCCAACACCCCTGGCCACGCAGTGGGAAGTACCATTGCGCCCATTCCACGCAGGGGGAGCCGAGGCACAGAGAGATTAAGAGTCTTGCCCACGGTCACCCAGAGAGTCTGTGGCAGAGCTGGGACTTGAACTCAGATCTCCCGGGGCGGAGTCTGGAGCTGTAAACCCACAAGACCAGCCCCCATCGTTTGCCTGACAAACCTTGTCTCTACCTTAGCGTTCCATGTGGAGAAAGGAAAATTGCCAAGAACTGAGTTGTTACGGCCCCACCACCTGTCTAATTAGCTGGCATTAATTAATGGTATGAAATGGGCTCCTTCACCTCTGCAGTTCAGGAAACAGTTCCACTGCTGTTGGATCTCCATCTCACTGAGCCACTCTTGAGCAATTCCCTGCATTGGCCACAGCGGAGGCTGGGTTTCTGGCTTATTGGATTAAGCTGTTGTACTGAACAGCGTCCATGTCTCTCCGCTCTCCTCATGTTGGACGCTTTCTCCTTATCGCTGTTCACAGTGTTAGAACTGGCCCCGTTGCTGGGACTGGTTCCAAAAGCTGACATTGACTTTGGGGCTGTTCCCTCCCACCGCCCAGGCTGATGCAGGTGACTGGTCTGCAGATATTTTCTGTACAACACACCAACCCCCCCCAGCCCCGTCTCGACTCACTTCTCCTAGAACAGATCCTGCAGTGCAGCAGAGGAAAACTTTACAGCCCCATCCATTACCATGTGTATGCCTTGCATATTCAACAACATTCTTAGCATGGTACCAACCTCTCCCAGGAGGAAATTACCCTCTGAAAAATGTCTGCCACAAACACAGCAAGCATCCTGGCTAATTGTAGCTGTCCCGCCCACCCAAGGAAAGCCCCTGGCTGCCAGAGCTACAACTGCTGCATTAGTGTTTGCCTTCGATAGCCTGGCTGGATCCTCCCAGAAAGATCTATCCCAGGGTTCTCAAACTTCGTTGCACCTCAACCCCCTTCTGACAACAAAAATTGCTACATGACCCCAGGAAGGCGGACCAAAGCCTTAGCCCACCCAAGCCCTGCTGCCCTGGGGGTGAGGGCTAAAGCAAAAGCCTGAGGGCTTCAGCCCCAGGCAGGAGGCCTGTAACCTGACCCCCACTGCCCAGGGCTGAAGCCTTCAGGCTTTGGTCCCAGATGGTAGGGCTTGGGCTTCAGCCGCTGGCCCCAGCAAGTCTAAGCCAGCCCTGGCGACCACATTAAAATTAGGTCACGACTCACTTTGAGGTCCTGACCGACAGTTTGAGAACTGCTGGTCTACCCAGTACTTTGCTGAAATTGCTGCTGTCCACGTCTCCTCTGTTTACAAAATTCCAAAGTCTCATCTCTCTCCAAGCCTACTCTGCCACAGCCCTGCCTGCATCTAGAAAGGAAGCCATCTGATGCATGGATGGAAAACAATTCAGGGAATCCCTGCCCCCATGGGGCTAACAATGGAAGGAGTGAAGAACCCGTACCCTGGTCTGTGATAGAGGCAGGACAAATGGGAGGGGAATACAGTGCAATCAATCACCAAGCAGGTGTATCAATTGCCCTTCAGTGTAATCTGTTGTCTGGTTTATCTCCACTTCCTAACTGGTCTCAGGTTAAAAGGTTGATCAGAGTATCCCCCCAATCCCATCGCATTCGTGGAGCTGTGCCAGCATCCATGTGTGTAGGTCCATGCTCCAGACTGGGTGGGTGTGACATGTTGGGAGTTGACCTTGGCATATTCCTTCACCAGAGTGTGTTCACCTGCCATGGGAAGTAACGAGACAAGGTGGGGGAGGTGTAATCACAGACATATACATGGAGCACATCATGGGACACCGCCAGGACCAGGTCGAGTAATCGAGACCGCCGGCCAGGGAAATAACCCACTTCCTTCCTTGATGAATCAACGGACGCACCCCACCCATGTGCTTACGCGCTACACCAATACTGACTCGGACTCTAAATACATTGGATGGCGTACTCAAGCCCACTTAGCCACTGACATTTTAAAAACTCCTACACCCCAATCTGGGTCTATGCTGGTTATGTGCTATGTATGTATCTCGCAAACCTTGTAACCGATACTTGTAGTCCCTCATAACCCAAGCCTGACCTCAGAGGTACAGTACCTTCCCTCTTGGGTAACTTTGACTTTAAACATTAACTTCAATAAAAATGTTAAATCTTTTACTGGACCAACTTCCGTTGGTGGCAGAGACAAACTTTGCCGCTGTTCAGAGCTCTGCTTCGGGTCTAGGAGAGGTAATCAGAGCGACACAGCCCTGTACAAGGTGGAACACACTGTTTTGCGTTAAGGTTGCAGGAGACCAGTTAAACGAAGTGGGCAGTTAACACCTCTG